TTAATACCACTTTATAACACCTTGGTAAAACCATACTTGGAATAATGTATCCAGTTTTTGTCGCCATGATGTAAAAAAGATGATGAGACTTTAGAAAGAGTACAGAGAAGAGCAACAGAGATGATTAGGGGACTGGAGGTTAAAACATAAGGAACGGTTGCTGGAATTGGGTATGTCTAGTTTAATGAAGAGAAGGATGAGGGGTGATATGATAGCAACAAAAAAAAATGATGATGATGATGATCCAACCCCCTGCTCAGGCAGGAAACACTATACCATTTCAGACAAATGGTTGTCCAGTCTCTTTAAAATTTCCAGTGTCGGAGATTCACAACTTCTGGAGGCAAGTTGTTCCATTGATTAATTGCTCTAACTGTCAGGAAATTTCTCCTTAGTTCTAGGTTGCTTCTCTCTGTGATTAGTTTCTATCTATTGCTTCTTGTCCTACCTTCAGGTGCTTTGGAGAATAGACAGGTTTCACCTAATCTGTACTAGTACCTTTGTTTTTTCCTGCCTAGGTGTAAAACCTTGCTTTTTCCACATTAAATTTCATGTTGTTGGATAGGGCTCATTGTTCAAGTCTGTCAAGATCTTTTTGGATTCTAAGGTTGTCTTCTGGGATATTGGCAATTCCTGCCACCTTAGTGTCATCTGCAAATGTGATGAGTTCTCCTTCTATTCCCTCATCTAAGTCATTTATGAAGATATTGAAGAGTACTGGGCCTTGTGGTACCCCAATGCTTACTTCCCTCCATATAGATGTTAAGTACTCAGTGAGTTGTCAGCCAGTTACAAATCCATCTGGTGGTGATGCTTCTATCCCACATTTTTCTAGTTTACTAAGAAGTAGGTTGTAGTCTCCTTTGTTGAATGCCTTGCTGAAATCTAAGTATACTATGTCCATAGCATTTCGCTGATCTACTAATTTAGTCACTTTGTCAAAGAATGAAAAAAGATCAGTTTGGCATGATCTGTTTTTAACAAACCCGTGCTGGATACTAGTTATAACTTTGTTTCTAGATGTTCACAGACCTGTTTTTGATTATCTTTTCCAGTATCTTCCCAGGTATTAATGTTAGGTTGATTGGTCTGTAGTTTCCTGGGGCTGTTGTTTTTTTTTTCTTCTTTTTTTGAAGATGGGAACCACATCAGCTCTTTTCCAATCCTCTGGCAGTTCCCTGGTACTCCAGGATTTTTTAAAGATATGGTACAATGGTTCTGAGATAACATCTGCCAGCTTCTTCAGAACTCTGGGATGTAATCCATCAGGTCGAGGTGATTTATATTCATCAAGATCAGATAGGTGTTCTCTTACCATTTCCTTGCTTATTTTAAATTTTAATTCTAGTCTGTCTTTTACAATTATGTTTTTGGTAGGTTGGGCTATAATTTCTTTTTGCATGAAGACTGATGCAAAGAATGAGTTAAGCAGCTCTGCTTTCTCTCTACTGCCTGTTACTTCCTTGCCATCTTCTCTCTTTAGTGGACCAACAGTTTCCTTGACCTTTTTCTTGCGATTTATAGGTTGAAAGAAATCCTCAGCATATATTTTCCATCAGCTCAATTAGAAAATATTTTTGAAAGTATCTCTGAAACTTAAGATGGAGGTGAAAAACATGAAAAAAGACTGGAATATACATTCTAAAAAAACAAATTTCAATCTCTTACATCTGAAAATCTTTATTCCACTGCTTTCACAATCTTGTTTAGTTCAAGTCCTGTGAGCCCTGTCCAGTTTTTGATTATAACATATTTTTAAAATGCTTCCTAAAACCAGAAAGAGTTTAATAATCAGAATGGAAAAGGACTGGAACACACACTTTGAAAATAAAATCTCCAGTCCAGCTTTTACATCATTTGAGAATTTCTGCCTCTTTATTAGTTTGCAATCTTGTTGAGTCGTCTCTTATATCTTCTAAACAGAAATTAACACTTAGGCCAGCTTAGCCTAGCGGTTCCTTCACAAACTGAGTAGTTGTCATTCAGCTGCTAGTTCCTAGTAGTTTGAGTCCCGTGGGCGCTGTCTGGCTTTTTGGTTATACCACATTTTTAAAAATGCCTCCTAAAACCAGAAAGAGTTTAAAAATCAGAATGGAAAAGGACTGGAATGCGCACTTTGAAAATAAAATCTCCAGTCCCACTTTTACATCATCTGTGAATTTCTACCTCTTTACTCTATTAGTTTACAATCTTGTTGAGTTGTCTCTTATATCTTCTGAACAGGAACTAACACTTGAGCCAGCTTAGCCTAGCGGTTCCTTCACAAACTGAGTAGTTGTCATTCAGCTGCTAGTTCCTAGTAGTTTGAGTCCCGTGGGCGCTGTCTGGCTTTTTGGTTATACCACATTTTTAAAAATGCCTCCTAAAACCAGAAAGAGTTTAAAAATCAGAATGGAAAAGGACTGGAATGCGCACTTTGAAAATAAAATCTCCAGTCCCACTTTTACATCATCTGTGAATTTCTACCTCTTTACTCTATTAGTTTACAATCTTGTTGAGTTGTCTCTTATATCTTCTGAACAGGAACTAACACTTGAGCCAGCTTAGCCTAGCGGTTCCTTCACAAACTGAGTAGTTGTCATTCAGCTGCTAGTTCCTAGTAGTTTGAGTCCCGTGGGCGCTGTCTGGCTTTTTGGTTATACCACATTTTTAAAAATGCCTCCTAAAACCAGAAAGAGTTTAAAAATCAGAATGGAAAAGGACTGGAATGCGCACTTTGAAAATAAAATCTCCAGTCCCACTTTTACATCATCTGTGAATTTCTACCTCTTTACTCTATTAGTTTACAATCTTGTTGAGTTGTCTCTTATATCTTCTGAACAGGAACTAACACTTGAGCCAGCTTAGCCTAGCGGTTCCTTCGCAACCTGAACAATGTTTTCAACTGCTAGTTCCTGGTAGTTCGAGTCCCGTGGGCGCTGTCTGGCTTTTTGATTACAACACATTTTTAAAAAAGCCTCCGAAAACCAGAAAGAGTTTAAAAATCAGAATGGAAAAGGACTGGAATGCACACTTTGAAAATAAAATTTCCAGTCCAGCTTTTATATCATTTGTGAATCTCTACCTCTTTACTCTATTAGTTTGCAATCTTGTTGAGTTGTCTCTTATATCTTCTGAACAGGAATTAGCATTTGAGCCAGCTTAGCCTAGCGGTTCCTTCGCAGTCTTTGTAATTGTCATTCAACTGCTAGTTCCTGGTAGTTCGAGTCCCGTGGGCGCTGCCTGGCTTTTTGATTCTAACACATTTTTTAAAATGCCTCCTAAAACTAAAGAGAATAAAAATCAGAATGGAAAAGAACTGTAACGTACACTAAATTTTCTGGTCCAGCTTTTAAGTCATTTGTGAATTTTTACATCTTTACCCTAGTCTGCATAATGCTTGCTGAGTCATTTCTGACATTTTCTTAAAAAGAAGTGCCACTTGAGCCAGCTTAGCCCAGCGACTTTTTCACAATAAAGTTAATTTGTGTTTCAGCTGCTGCCGTAGTTCCTAGCAGTTCAAGTCCCTGTGGGTGCTGTCTGGCTTTTTAATCTGCTCAATTTGAAAGAACTACATTTTAATATATCTCCCAAAAATCTGAGACAGCTTTAAAATCAGAATGACAATAGGCTGAAACACACATTCAAAAACTAGAATTTCCAGCTCAGCATTTACATTCTTTCAGAAAAGTCTTTGTTCAATCAGTTCCTCTATCTTTTGAATCAATATAGAAGCAGCACAACCTAGTGGTTTCTTTGCATTTCTACTGTGTATTTAATTTTATTGCATCCACGCAATAAAAAGGATACAACTTTTTTTTTAATGGTTCAGTTTCCACAGGTGCTTTCTGGCCTTTGATGCCTCAATTTGACTAAAGCACATTCAGTAATATACTTATTAAAATCCAAGAAAGCATAAAAATTCAAATGGTATACAAAGGAACTATACTTTAAAAATAAAATTGATGACTGTCCAACTTTTACATCATCTCACAATCTTTCCCTTTTGTTTCTATACTCCTCACTTAGTCATCTTTTAAAGAGATAGTATGTTGGAGCCTACAGTATTTGTTTTGCAGGAAAATGAAGGTTTTTTTTGTTTAATTGGAATATAATTAAAATACTAGTTCTTAATAATTCAAGTCTGGGGAGTGCTGTCTGTAGTTTTTAATATCCTCAACATTATTAGAGTTTTTTTCTCTATCCTCTAAACCTTTATCTATTGGATTTCAAGGCTAAAACGAATAGAGTGTTTGTCATTCTACCAAGACAAAGAATGAAGAGTGTTTTAACTTTTTAGCCAAAGCAAAGGACTTTTAAAAAACAAGAAGGGATTTCATATAACTTTCCTAAACTTTGAGGATGGGAATTGATGCAACTCTGCAGAAAGCTTTTATCTGTGCATGTTTGGTGATCAGTACCATAGTGCAGCCATAACAATGTATTTGCAGGATCCCAAACAGCTGCTCTTCCACTCTTTTTGCTCACCCCCCCCCCTCCTCCCGCTGACAAGATCTAGGAGAGAGGACTGCTCCGGGCCCCTTCTATTAAACAATGTAATCTTGTTGAACTCAGGAATCACATCTTTTTTATGGCAGTGCATGCCCTGAGGACCAGCCTCCCCCAGACAGGTAACAAAATGAGCCACAACCTTGCATTGGAGGGATCTGTTTGAATACACTTATAATCCCTTTAAAACAGGGATTCCTAATTTTCTTGCCATCACACTTCCCTTTAGTGTAACTTTAATGTACGCACCAGCCCTAAAATTCCAAACCCAAAATGAACACAAATTAACAATGCAAACGGAACTTTGGGAGAAGTGGATTCTTTGTAACAATATAATTAAAAGGTTGAATGTGGACTCTGTCTGCATCTCCCCAAGGACGGCAATATAAGAAACTGCTTTACAAAGAGATCACTGTAATTTCAAAAATTGTGAGAGCAATTCTACACTCCGTGACATGGAGCTCGAGCTCTTATGCATTCATACACATGTCACTTCCCAAGCTTTGCCTCCTCCTCCTCCGATTCCCACAATTCTGCCCGCAGCTAAGATGGCGGCGATAGTAAATAGCTGCGTGAGATGCTTTCTCCGGTTGCCCTGCAACTGGCATTACAGCTCTTTCCAATCTCGCTCAACTGCCTCCTTGTCCTCCGCGCACGTGCGCCAGATGTTCCTCCAGTTCTTCCAGGAGCGGCACGCGCATCAAGTCGTTCCCTCGGCTTCTGTGAGGCCGCGAAACGATCCCGGGCTGCTGTTCGTGAACGCGGGAATGAACCAGGTACGGTCCCAAAATAGGACGCGGGAAGAACAGGCTTCGCGGAATGCTTCCGCTGTTGCCCTTGACGGCTCTGATCTGATGTTATCTCGTTCCCTTTTTTTCGGAATTTTTTTCCCCGTGGTGTAAATGCCGCTGCTACGGTGCTGTCGTTTTATATCTTTCTCGCTGCTAAAAAGAAATGCTTATTTGCTCGTAAAGTTGCATTGCATTTTACAATATTTTAGACTTCTAGAATATTTTTCTGGAGATATAAAACGGAGAAAAAATGTTCAGCTGAAGGAAAATATGCAGTCAGAATAAGAAGCATCACAATGCAACTGAGAACTGCAGTTGAGATATTTCAAAAATAACTATGTTTTTTCTCTAGCACGTTTTCTGTTGAGAACTTGATTCAGTTAAATGTTTTAGATAAAAATAATGTCAGCTTCATATACCATTATGCATTACACTGTTATTCACATTATTTAACATTATTTAATATAAGTTCTACATTTCAAGAGCATCATTGGAACCAGCATAATGAATAGCTAATTTAATGGATTGGATCCAGAGAGTTGCTGGTTCAAGTTCCCACTTAATATTATCACTGTTAAGCTAAAATAATGTCCTGTACTCCAATATTCTGAGCACACTGTATGCATATGTGAGACTGACAGAACATATTTGCATGACATGTTAAGTCGTGTTGTAGTTTGGCTTGTAGTGTCATTCAGACATACACTAGAGGCTGAAATACAGTTGAGAACTTTACCAAATGGCCCAGTGTGTATCCAAATCTGAACTAAAGATGGATTTATAAATATGGAGCCATTTCTGCTCTAAAAAAGATAAGAGTGGGGGAATAAACACAGAGCAGCATCTTTCAATTTGTTTTTCTACATCCATGGGTTTGGAGGAACATTATTTTAAAAAGAAAGGAATTGGGAAAAGAGTGATCTTACATCCTGTGCATCAAATGATTATTTGATCACTGAAAACATTGTTTAAATTGATTCCAGGAACTCACAGATACCACAAAATAAAAAGTATCTAGAATAGTAGAACTTTTGAAATGTGACTGGCTGGGTTTGTTGTACTCACTGGGAAATGTTTGCTAGCTGACCATGGTTAAGGGAGCTTAGTTTATTGAGTAATAAGAGAATGTGCCTTCTCACTATAACAATCCTTCTCTTAGTATGAGCCAAATATCTCCTGTGTGAAATTTCCTTTATTTTTGTTTTTGAATTTCCAGTTCAAACCCATCTTCCTGGGCACAGCAGATCCTCAAAGTGAGCTTAAACGTTACCGCCGAATTGTGAACACCCAGAAGTGTGTGCGGGCAGGTGGAAAGCACAATGATTTGGAGGATGTGGGTCGAGATGTTTATCATCATACTTTCTTTGAAATGCTTGGGAACTGGTCCTTTGGTGATTATTTCAAAGTAAGGCATTGCTACACATGCTTTAAAAAATGACCTATTTGTAATTAAATTAATTTGTAACTAAATGTGATCCGAATGTGATCCAGAATTATCTTTTTTCTTTGTGACATGTTTGTTTCTAAACTGCACCATAAATTGGAACAGTAAAGCAATCATTATCATGTTTATGGTTTCTCAGTACAAAGGATTTGATTGTAAAAATAATATTTTTGAGAAAGAACTTAGTTGAGCATTCTATTCTGATTTGTACATATAAGCCACTTTATGCAAACATGAGGCATAAGTCAAGTCAAGGAAACTATCTAATTGCAAGGTGAATAGCTTTTGCTGTTCCTTGCATTCATATTGACTTGATGAGTCTTCTATTCTCCCACTTCTAAATAATTTAAACCAGTTGTCTCCAACCTGTGGATTGCCATGTTTTGGAGTATAATATCCATCATTTTTAGATAGCATGGCTTTGCTGATTAGACATGGTGAGGGTTATATTCTACCACAACCTGAGGACATTAGTCTGGGAATACATTATTTAAACAACTGTGTAGAAATAAACAGCCAAAAGGACCTTATAGAATTTTAGTCTGGTGTTAATGACACTAATCGTTTATCTGACTATTGCATCTTCAAGAAATTTAGGGTATCTTGCACAATACTTAGAAAAGAGAGTAATCTATCCAAGGTTATCCAGTTGGAAAAAGACCTCCCCAGATCAATTTAGTCCCATATTTTCATTTTATTTGCTCACCAGGTTGTCCTTGATTGTGCTACAAGCAGCTAATATCATTCTTTATAATCTGTTCCCTCTGGAGCATCTGAAGTTGTTTTCGTACCAAACATTTAACTATTATTTTTTGTTGCTTCATTGTTTTAGGAGGAAGCATGTAAGATGGCATGGGAGCTCCTGACACATGTCTATGAAATTCCAAAGGACCAGCTTTATGTCACTTACTTTGAAGGTGATGTTTCACTTGGTTTAACTGCTGATGAAGAGTGTAGGGATATATGGCTTACACTTGGGTAAGTAATTTTTAAGAAAAAAAATGAATGTAAATAAAGTATAGAAATTTTGAGGGTTTTTTACCATGGTCCAAAAGCAAACAACAATATACATGTTCAAATTATATAAGTCATATAAATAACCTAAACAATAATTTACATTAAGTGGGAACAAGGTGGCTTCTAGAAGCTATTTCTATGACAAGATATTTTGCCAGTTTTAGAAGTATTAACAGATGGATCATTAAGTGGTGCAAGCAGTTAAAGAGTGTCATGATGGATGCTATTAATTCTATACAGCAGTGTTTATGCAGTTGACAGTGAAGTAGCACAAATAAGATTCAGTTTCCGAATAAAAATGTATGGCGTTCAAATGGAGAGCCGGAATATATACTCATTGTCATCCTAATGGGTAACATCAATTTGCACCACTACAAAGAGTCTTTTATGTGAGACATGTACATTATACAAATATTTGGGGATCATATTTGACGAGAAATAAAGATTTCAAGAATTTTGTTTGCCTAAACTCTAGGTTAAATATTTATATAAATGCAACTGGACACCATATAACAACTGGCTCAAAACTTTGGCCTTAAGAGGTTTGATTGCCACTGGAACAAAATTATGAGCGTTAGAGATTACATACATTATCACTGAAAGAAATGTACTATGAGATTTGTATTCAGCTCTCATGTTTCGTTAATTCTGAGCATAGAAGATTGAAAGCAGATACCTAATATTTCAAGGTTTAACCTGTAATACCCAATATTTTAAGATTTTAATCAATCTTCCATTAATGTTCCATCTGGAAGGAGTCTTAAAGTGTTTTCTCAAAAACACCAGAACCTTCATTTTCAAGTAGTTAATTTCCAGGAATTCTTTCGAATAATAAAATGAAAAGACTTAGAGGCATGTTTGCAAACCCACTGCAATATGGAAATAATTGCAGCAGCATTTATAATATGAAAACTGGACAGTGGGCTAGGAAAGAAGCATTGGTCAGTGCATTGCCTGGAATAATTAATAGCTTTGTTTTATATTTCACATGGTTTTGTTTGACTTTTACCCCCAATTTGCTCAAGTATTGCATAATCCTGATCCCTAGTCATGCCTAGAAGACTAAAACTATTGTGTGCAGCAAGCATGGACTGAATACTGTAACATCTTGTTCAGTAGCATTCATCAGTAGAAGCCACGATTGTAAAGTGGAGGAGGAATGGATTGCATGTACCATATTGTGCCACAGAATGGTTTATTCGGCTAAGCATGTTTTGTGAAACCAACCTCTGGTTTATAAAGCACGTGTGATTTAGCAGAATGAATGAACCATGTGTCAAGGTTCCAACTAATGAAACCACATAAGGCAGAACTCCGAGGCTTAAAGTTCCTTTAATACACATGTTTATTAGATAGATAATAACAGCACAGTCAAAAATGAAATCAACTCTGAAATTTCCCTAGAGATTTGAAGTAGCTAAAAGCAATACTCCCCTCCACTCCACTATGCTATAAATCATGCTATCCAATGAAAGCAAGTGGCAGGCTTCTCAAATCGTCTTTGCTCCTCCTTCCTGCACCTGCAGGAATGACTGTGGTTTCCATGGGACTGCTCAGTGTTTTGTCTAATGATACAAATACCCCATCTATGTGGTAACTCAGAACGAAATAGATGGCTTCAACCAGGTTCGTTTCAGAAGTTGACACCATGTCTAAGTTACCAGTGACTTCACCTACCCACAGCAAAGTGGGCAGTCCGGAAACAGAGATTTCCCATTTTGACATTTCTGAGTTCCAGCCTATGAAGTTCATAGATCCATGCATTTGGAGAAGAAAAGGGAAAATACGGATTTACTGTTTCCACTTACCGGCTGTTCTGCTTGTTTGCTTGTTCTTTGCTTGTTTTTCAGCGTGCCCCCTAGCCATGTTCTTCCTTTTCACCTGAAAGATAACTTCTGGGAGATGGGGGACACTGGTCCCTGTGGGCCCTGCACAGAAATCCATTATGATCATATAGGGGGTGGAAGAAATGCAGCAGCGCTCGTGAATCAGGGCTGTCCTGATGTGGTGGAGATCTGGAATCTCGTTTTCATACAGTACAATAGGTATGATATGATGTTACTGTTGGAGCTTTATATCAATGCCATAACTTGACTTCTTAGCAAAATTTTGTATGGCATAGAATATGTAGAGTTGGTTTTAAGATGGGCAGCCATACAAATTTTTAAAATAAATAAATGTTCACAGGCTTTATACCAATTAGTATTGTTTTATCAGTCCGATTATTTATATTATACTAGCTGTTCCCAGCCACGCGTTGCTGTGGCTCAGTCTGGTTAAATGGAAAAGAAAGAAAAGAGAAAGCACACGTTTGTAATATGTTTAATTTCACAGTGCTTGTGGGTATACAGTAGTTTTTGTTGTTCCATTGTCTGTGCAGATATAGAGATTGTCTGAAATCATAGCGTGTTGCTTTTACGTCCAATAGATGGTGCTGTTTTTCACAAAAAGCATGTTTTTACCTATCACAGGTGTGACATCTATATAATATAGGTATATAAAAACATGTGCGTATTCGAACATTGTGTCAAAATTTCAAAGCAATCGGTGAAGAGCTTTCGGAGATTTAAGATTTTGAACAAACAAACATTTACATTTTTATTTATATAGAATAGATAGATAGATATTCTCCTTGTCATCCCCCCAATTATATTTTAGTTTTATCAGCTGGAGGGCTGCACCAATTTTATGTGGCATGGCAAGATCTCTGCAAGGCTTCAATTATCCATTTTGCCTATTATCTCCCATAATTTTAAAAACCTATTTCTTTTTCACCCTATCACTTTGTGTATTGCCTCTGATGAGTGTACTTTCTGCATTAATATTCTGATATTGTCAGAGCTTATCAACCTTCAGCCCAAACCCCACATCACAGCTTGTGTCCTGGTTTCAAAAGCCTTCAATGAGAAATCAGCCCAGATCTCTAGCAAGAGTAACATCTCCCTATCCTACAGTCTGCTTCTTGGATGAGAAAGAAGAGGATGTCAGAAAGCAAAAGAAATTAAGAGAGAAAAGGGTAGTGTAAAACACTGGAAAAGGAACATCTAAGCCTAAGGAATTGTGTCTTTACTCATTTATGGTTCTGGCTTTGCCTTTGCTCACCCAACAGGTTATTTCTATAGAATGACAGCAAAGGATTGCCCATCCTAATTTATGATGGACAAGAGCCTTTGTATAATCTCCACTGATCTTGGTCATCAAGTCTGTCCTCATCAGTCTTCCTGGTGCCTTTCTCCAACTTCATTTTAATCCCTTGCAACATTGTCATTCCCCTCCCTTCAGCAGAAGGGCCTCTAATTAATATTTATCATTTTTCCTTGTTTGGTAACTGATACATTTCTAGAGAGGCCAATGGGAGTTTGCGCCATCTGCCTCAGCATCATGTGGACACCGGAATGGGCTTAGAAAGGTTGATGACTGTTCTTCAAAACAAACGCTCCAATTATGACACTGACCTCTTCACCCCAATCCTGGATGCCATTCATAAGGTGACAATCAGCCTGGCGTAGTTCTACTGAGACTTTGAAGTTTTGTATGTATAATTGCATACAGTACCTCCCTAATAGGCCCTAGTTAAGATCTATGAAGGACTATGATTGAATTGATTTACATTGATTTGAAATGTCGCTAAACGTTCTCATGGACCTCACTGCTCTGCCTCACACCTCTTTCCTGACCCTCATTGTGCCTCTCACCCTTGTGCACCTGTGCAAACCTGTGCTATGTCTCTTGCACATCCTCATGCACCTGCCCAGATCTGCAGCAGCCCCCCACACACCTTCTTGCACTCTTTCTGACTTGCACCATGTCTCTCACATTCTTGTTCACCTTCCCTGACCTGTGCCATGCCTCTTGTGCACACTGAGCCATAATGAGTTCCTTGCACATCTGACCCACACCGTGCTTCTTGCACACCCATATTGCATCTCTTGTGCACTCCCTCATACCTTGTCCTCAAACGTTTCATGCACCTGCCCCAACCCTCTTCTGCAGTTCCACAAGAATGCAATATTCCTGTGTGACTTTCTCCAGTGTCTTCTATTACCTTTCAGGGCTGTGGTGGACCTGGTTACCAAGGCTTGGTTGGCGAGACTGACCCAGGGGGAATGAACATGGCATACAGAGTAGTGGCAGATCACGTGCGTGCTTTATCTGTATGCATTGCGGACGGGATTTTCCCAGGCATGGCTGGTGCCGAGTAAGGAAAAAGTCCAATAATGAGGGAAAGGTTGGGAATGGGTGATTAGAGAATATTCAGGTTGACGTTTTGAGAAAGAAAGTTACACGGAGAGAGGAAGCAGGGTGGGGCAAATGGAAGCTACAGTTTTGAATGATTTCAAAAGATTAGTGGAGAAAGACAACTGCAGCAGACACAAAATGCGTGCATAAAGTATACAATATATGGAACATACCAAGGGTATAGTTGTAAAACCAACCAGGTAAACACTAAGAGAATCTTGGTGGGAATTTTAACAAGTGTTCAGACTTTTTCTGAAAAAGCAAAATTGCCTACTCACTCAGAATTCTGATTTCTTTTTTAAACATTTTCTTCCCTGCAGGCTTGTTCTGCGTCATATCTTGCGCAGGGCTGTGCGATTTTCTTCAGAGGTTCTCCATGCTCCACCCGGGTTCTTGGCGAGTTTGGTTCCTGTTGTGGTAGAAATTCTGGTAACTTAGAATTTGATTTCATAGGGAAGATAATTTCCTTTTCTAATGCTGTCCTGCAGTGTTTCCCAAACTTGACAATTTTAAGGCATGAGGACTTCAACTCCCAGAATTCCACAGCCAGCGTTGCTGGCTGTGGAATTCTGGGAGTTGAAGTCCTCATGCCTTAAAATTGTCAAGTTTGGGAAACACTGCTGTACTGGTTGCCTTATCAAATGGCACTACCTTGTGGCATCAGATGATGAAACCCTTAGCTGCTAGAAATATGGGAGAGATAGCAGAATGAAACAGCAGATTTTTTTTAATGCAGGTGTTAAAACTACCTAGTTATCCTACACATGGTCTCAATATTAGAAGAAATAGTAAGTGACCCAGCAGTTCTTCTACTATTCCAGTGAGACATATCACATCACATCTGCTAAATAGAAAATATGCAGAATACAGTCTAGTAACAGAATTATCAAAAAACCTGGAATCAGGAAAGAGTTATGTTTGCAGAATTGCATGTTTCTTGACTGAAAGGCAGCTCTCATGGAGGTGTTTCTGTCCAATAATATGAAGAGCCTGACAGGCCTTTTGTGATATTTGTGTTAAGTCAACACATCTGATGCTGTTTGTCACTCACATTAATTCTACTCAGATATTTTATTTTTGCATAGAATTGGGGATGGGGGGGAGGGTAATTTGCTATATTACGTAATTCCTGACATGAGACTGACAAAACCCATTTTTTTTCCTGATTTCAGAATTTACATTCCATATAATGTAAATTAAGGATGGGGAGAAATGAGAGTTGCACTACTAATGACCTGTAATGAGTTGATGTTTCCTTTGCAGGGAGATGCTTATCCAGAACTAAAGAGGGACCCAGACAAGGTAAGCAGCTACTGCTGCTGCACTCAAAGTTGTGTTTGATCTCTAATTGTTACACATTGCTTGAAATAGTGGAACTTTTTCCTTAGCCATTCCCTTTCAATGAGCATACTATACCAGCTTCCAGTTTTTGATTATTATTTTTTTGCCATCTCATTTTGAATCGTGGAAGAATGGAGGTGGGATTGGACTTCATTGCTGTCTCCTGAGCAATTATGCTACTACAGCATGCATTTTAAAGGTCAATCCAACAGTTTGCCTCTGTGCCATACATGAGCAAATGCAAGCAGGAAATTTGCTCTTCTGATATGAATGAAACTATAAGCCAGCGTCCCATCTAGAGCAGAGATCTAAGGCAAAATGTGCTGTCTCTGTTTTGTCTCTTTTGTTTCGAAAGATATATTCCTCTTTTCCAGTATTTTTTTTAACCCAGTGAATAGTCCAAGCAATAACATACATGTACTGTATACTATCTGGAGAAAGAAAGTTCCAGTTAATTTTCTAAAACCTTTCCTGAGAAAAGTTTCATTTAAAAACCATTAAAAATCAGTTTTTTGATATGTAATTTGATTGCACAAAGTTTGACTATTGATAGAAAAGACATTAGAAAAATATTACTAAACTTTAAAAAATTATCCTGCCAATGAAGGCAAATAACATCCCTCGTTAAAGGGATGCTGCTACAGCTAATAGATTGGGAATTATATGTTACGACAATTTGAAAGTTGGGGGAAGGGGTTCAGTCCCTAAAAATTTCACCAAATGTGACACTAAGAACAAATCATAAGTGCAAAGAAAAATGAGCACATACATTGCAATGATGTTCTTTCTATCTTCATCCAACTTTGTGACCTCAATTCCAAAAAGGTTTTCATGACAGATACCTATGTTGCCATAGTTAATTATGGTTGATGGTGGTCTTTTGTGAACTAAATGCATCTGAAAACCTAGATCAGTGATGGCGAACCTTTTAGAAACCAAGTGCCCAAACTGCAACCCAAAACCCACTTATGTATCATCGGGTGCCGGGTGGGCGTGGCCTATTGGGTGGGGGGGCTGCGGTGGTAACGGCAGACTGAGTGGGACTAAAAAGTTTAATCAATCAATTCCAACTTTGCGAGATCTTTTTTTTTCCCGCAAGAAGTTGAAATTGATTGATTGATTGAACCTTTTTTTTTTGCACACGGCGGTAGAGGCCTAAAGCGATAAAGGTTTTATAAAACCCAGCTGAAGGCCTAGGATTGGGATCACGGCACGTGTGCCCAGAGAGGGCTCTGCGTGCCACAGGTTCACCACCACAGACCTAGATCAATGTCAACAGAGTATGCAATCTGGATTTTTTTTTCTTGAACAGATGCCATTTTTTCTTTTATATATTTCTTACTCTGCCCTTTTCTCCGCTTGGATCATAGGATTGCAGGGAGAGTAGAATTCTAGAACATGAGTTGAGCATGCATCATGCTTTTCCTACATCTTCTGCTTAGTGAGCAAGATACCTTGAAGAGCTTGGCTTTTCAACTTTTTAATTTGGCTTTTAATCTTTTATTCAACACTTGTAATAAATGGCTTTTTAAGCAATAGGTTTATTTATTTTCTGTTCCTATTCAGTTTGCCTCTTTTATCTCCCTGCAGATTATGAATATCATCAATGAAAATGAAGCAGCATTTTTCTCTTCTCTCTTACAAGGACGCCGAGTTATAAACCGAACTCTCCAGAAATTGAATCATTCCCAAGTCTTCCCAGGCAAGGATCTCATTTCCCCACAACCAACCACTGCTATCTGCCAAAGTACAATGTACAGTGTAATGAGATAGATGCCTTGTTTGTAAAACCCACCTGCCTGGCTTTGACTTGTCCCTTCCTTTTGACCATGTATGCATGAAAGAGTGATATTCTGGCTGATTAATGGGAATTCATGTGCAACTTTCCAATGACTCTGTAATCACAGTCAGTGGTTATCCTATGGTTGGTTTTTTTACAATTTCAGATTCTAGTTAGGAAGCATCAAAAATGGCAGATGCTGCATTATAGGATGACATACTTAACCATAGGAAAGTTGCTGAAGTTGCTCATATTCTTGCCTGCAGGTGAGGTAGCTTGGTCTCTCTATAGAAATTTGGGATTCCCCCTGGATCTCATTAAATTGATGCTTGAAGAAAAAGGAGTACAGCTAGACATTGCTACTTTTGATCATCTGGCTCAGGAACATGCTGAAGTAAGCGTCACTTATGTCTTTTTATGAATCATCCTAACTGATCTATTTTTTTTTCCTCTGACCAATGCCTTAAAAATGGTACTTATAGAGAAACATAAGGGAAGAATAGGCAACCATGGCTTTCTAGCCATAGCTAAAAGGGAACTCCCAACAGCCCTTATGGTAAATGGTGAAGAATATTGGGAGCTTAGCAATATCTGGAAGACTACAAAGAGTTCACTCCAGTTTTTTGAGGTCCTCTGAAGAAGCCCCTCTGTTAGCTGTAATAAATCATAATCCATAGCAATAGATTAAGTATATTGTCTTAATTTTGATTTGTTTGTTTGTTTGTTTCAAATGGAATAGCCATATTTTTTTTCTAAAAGGTGTACAGGTGCAAACTGACTTGGAGTAAAATTTCATAAGCATTTAATTCCACCTCCCCAACCCTTGATTTAAAAGGGAGCAAAGATTCTCAAAAACTTAAACTTAATCCTAGATTGGGATAGCCTTATGAAAATGCTACAGTCTCCCGAATTCTGTGTACAGGTTTTATTAAATTGATGTGGCTCATTCTTTTGTTTTCTCTCTCCGTGTCTTTCCTTCCCTTTCCATACCTGTGCAGCACAATGCTAAGTTGCAACAGCAACAGCAACCACAGAGTCCTGGGAAGCAGCTGGATGTGCTTTCATTGGCCCAATTGCAGGAGCGGAATGTGCCTATTACTGATGATTCCCCCAAGTATGACTATAAACTTGAACAAGATGGGAAATATGGTAAGGATCAACCATGCTTGATGAAGACAAGACTTTATTTTCTAATAGGGAAATAAATGTTTTTGTTAGGATAGGATAACTGGGCTCATTGCCTGATTTGAAAAGTCAATAGTAGCATAATTGTGAGTTTTAAAAAAACACACTCAGGCAGCCATTACTTATTTTATTATTGCATCTGTACGCTGCATGCTTGCAAGCTTCAGCTAAATAAAGTGATCTTGGATAATGGGGGGGGGGAGTTCTAGTTGAGGGGTGAGATAGCTGTAACTCTGCTTCTTGAACTTCCTAAGGTCAGTAGAAGATCATCAGTTGTCATGATGACTTTGTCAAAACAGTGAGGCTGACGTATTTTTCTTTTTGCTTGCTTTTTATATTTATTTTTTCTCAGTTGACATGGTATAAGTGGGAGAATGGCAGCAGCAGACTTTAGGGAAACAAATTGTTCTGTTTCCACCCTTAAAATCTACCTCAAATCATGGAATGAAATAATTGTTTTTCAGACTAATTTCAGCATACTTTTCAGATTTTGTGAGGTGTTAAGGATGGAAGAGGGGATGATTCGCATCCCTAAAACTTCCTAGCCATGTTCCATCTGAAATCGGCCTCACAATGAAAAAAGAGCCCAAGTCACCTCTCCCTCTGAGAAACCATTTGGAAGCAGGCCGGGAGTTTCACTATAGGAGTGAGAGGCCTTCAGAAGGCTTCCCACTGCTCATCCCACTGTGGCTTCCTGCCGCCTCCAAATGGATATAGGCTGTGTAATGCTCATACTAACAGAATCACATAGTCCAGACATGTCAAACACAAGGCCTGGGGGCTGGATGCGGCCCGCGAAGTGGTTTCATGTGACCCGCGAAGCCATCCTGGAAACAGTGAGGGAACGGCCCCCGCTGCCTTGGCCCTGGCCCAGGCTGGCCGGGAGCCAATGTACAATTTTGTGGTGGCCATCTATGCTGAAACGCATTCAGTCTTAGCTCCACAAGGCCGCCTAGAAACAGCGAGGAACCAGCCCCTGCTGCGTCGGCCCCGTCCCCTGGGTGCATGCTGAGGAGGTGTCACCCTTTGTGAGGAATGAAGAAATGGACCATGCCTTGGCACTTGCCCCAGTCCCACCCCCTTCTGCCAGAGACCCTCAGATCTGTCCCTCTCCTGCCCAGGTCCCCACAGGCACCCTTGACGCAAACAATGTAAAGCTGGCCATGTCCACCCAGTAGGCCACACCCACTCCATCCACGCCCACTCAGTAGGCCACACCCACCCACCCACCCACCCCGAGGGCAACCGCAATGCTGGTGCAGCCCTCAATGAAATTGAGTTTGACATAGTCTGTATTTGACTATTTTGGTACTAGCTTCTGGCAATTGATTCCAAGGCAGAAGGAGACTCTGTTTTATCCTCTCCTTGTAGAGGAAGCACCTCCTCTCTCACCAGATGAGCTCTATATACCTAAATCCCATTTGTTGCCCTTGGAAACCATGGAGAATATTAGCTTCCTTTCTCCATGTTGTTTTTTGCATGTAGGATTCTGTGAGGGGAGAGAGGAGAAGCAGCATTTTGGCCTTTTGCCCAAGCAGCAACATATCTTCAGTCGGGTCTTATTCACCAATTACCATGAGAGTTGGCTGGTGGGGGGATGGGACAATTGGACTCCAGCACATCCAGAGGAAAGAGGCCTATTTTTAGCAACTTGCAGCAAGTTCCATGATGTCTTTATTTCATTCATAAAAGGAGAAACCTTGAAGAAGTATTGCCAGCCAAAGTAGACATTTTTAGGCTAAATAATCCAGCAGCCCCCAAGTTAGTCTAATGTTGTTTCCTATATTCTGTCCTCTTTTGTAGAGCAGTGAGAGTTTAGCTCTTCTGAATTTGGAGCTGTGGAATTGAACTTGAAGGAAGAAAATCTATTATGGCACATGTATTGAATGGATACATATTTAAATTCATTTAATGCAGTTAAAGCCAGTAATACATCATTGTCATTACCTATGTGGGGAACTGTGAGTGATATCTCCACAGTCGTTAATCTTTGTATTTCTTAGATTTTTCACATACCCAGCTTCATCTATTTGGTGGAAGCTGAAAAGTTTTGTTTATGGCTCCAGCAGTACATTACAGAAACTGGCAAGATCTCTCATGAGAAGGCACTGTTGTTGTTCAGTTGCTAAGTTGTGTCTGACTCTTCACAACCCCCATGGACCACAGCATGCCTGGCCCCACTGTCTCCCAGAGTTTGCCCAAAGAGAAGGGCAAACTCCCTTCTTATATACTCCCACATATAATAATAATGCCATTTAAATATGTTTATGTTCTTGGGTACTGTGAGTACTGATGCCATGTGACTATCCAAAATTGGCTTTTAAATCATTTAGGTGAGCATTGGTCAGATCAGTGCTACATGATTGGCTGATTGTCTTATTCTCCAGGTGGCTCCACTGAATAGGCCACCTTATAGAAATGGAGTCTGTGACCTTTTTCTTGCTCTCTGCAGTGTTTAAGCCATGCCAAGCCACCGTCTTAGCACTCTATAGAAATCAGACTCTTCAAGAGGAAATTTCAGGAAAACAGCACTGTGGGGTCCTGTTAAACAAGACTTGTTTCTACGCTGAACAGGGTGGTCAGGCATCTGATCAAGGCTATATGTTGTGTGACAGACAGCAGGTAAGCTTTTTCCCACTCAGAACTGAAATTATTCCCTGATGATAATCTGGGCATGAGCTTCCTTGAAATGCATAAGCCATCTGGGTTGCAGTCTCCAGGCTATAGCACCAGTTTATTCCTTATCCACATCTTTTTGCTTTACTTTCAGTCACTGATTACTATAGTATTTGTACTAAATGCAGAAGGTTTACCTCTATTGATCTTAATCTATACTTCTCCCAATATTAATTTAAGAGCTTAGTTGATTGATAAATAGCAATTTGTTAATGACTAAGATAATTGAATGTCCTGTAGAAGAATAGAACAGTGTTTCTCAACCTTGACAATTTTAAGGCATGTGGACTTCAACTCCCAGAATTCCACAGCCAGCATTGCTGGCTGTGGAATTCTGGGAGTTGAAGTCCACATGCCTTAAAATTGTCAAGGTTGAGAAATACTGGAATAGAAGAACATGATTCACAAAAATCATGAAGTGTCTGTGTTAACAGTTGTGCCTTTTTCCTTCTTTTGAGGATGTACTTTTCCCTGTTGAATCAGTACAAGTATTTGGTGGCTATGTAATCCATGAAGTCTTCGTTTCAGAAACCCTGAAGGTTGGGGACCAAGTACAACTCTTTGTGGATGAGGTAACAATCTGTGCTGGGCAATGCCATAAAATTCCTGAGTCAACAGTATGTTTTTAAGCATGCCATACTAATAGATTGTATTGGGTGGAAAGTTAAGAAAACATATTGCACCCTGGGCATGACAAACATTTCCAAGGACTTACGTTGTAGGATATTCTATGTTACTTTGTACCTTTGTTGATTTTTCCCTAACACTATTTGCCTTTCAACCAACTCACAAAGATTAACAAATATACATGTTGCAGCTTAGCACAAGACAGTGTCTTACATTCAAGAGTCAGAGAGGAAAAAAACCTGCAGATTCCTTAACGATTCTCAACTACATGACCCATTGAAATAAGTGGAGGGTAACATTTGCAAATAGAGATTTTTTTTAGCAGAGTGACTTTGTTACGGTAAGGCAAATTCCATCATTTTGGCTGCTTAAGCAAAATGATGGAATTCGCCTTACTATAACAAAGTTATTTTGAGAGACCCTACCAAAGTTTATTTCAAGCAAATTATTACTCAAGCATTATACTACTCCTAAGCAGCTAATGCTTTAAAATGGGCTGGTGAGCCAAAGTGAGAGATGCTCAGTTTTTAATGACATGCATAGTTCTAATTAAGCCATTGTACCCTTAGGAGGAACTTTTTGATAGTATAAATTGTGTGTGCTAGTAACTCACATCAGGACATTCATCACATAGAATGATTTAAGACAAGATTGTTTTTCTGTTTCTCTTTTAATTTAATTACTTAATAATTGTTTAATTATAAGAAGCAGTATTTGGAGTATCAAGGAGTTTTATCACTATGCTGCAGTGAATATCTTAGAAAACAAGTATGGTGACTTTCAGATACACGAAAGATTTGTAGAGGAATGATGTATGATTTCTACTGGATGAGAAGAGAGCTATGAAGTTGGTATTCTAGTAACACAATGTAAAGGAATGTAGAGATTATCTTGAAGAAGGAATGGATGAGCTTTGAAAGGGAGAAGAAATGGCAATGCATTCCTAAAGAGGTAAAAGGCATAAGAAAGAAACCAAAAATAACCATGCTTTGATTCTGTTTGGTATAGAACAAACAGACAAACCAAAATTAATGGGATTTCAAGATTCTGTCATTACGTCCTATAATAGAGTAGCATTCGTGGAATCCTTTCAGTGTCTGTTTCTTGACCTGACCTACCTCAAAGAACGGACAAACAAGTATGTTTCTTCGAACATTAATTAAATTAATTAAAGGTAACCTGGGATCTTCAGATATCGCTGAACTACTGGTCTCAGCATCCTTCATTGCCTTTTTAATTGGAGCTGCTAGGACTTGTTCAGCAACATCTGTAGGGCCAGAAGTTCTTGACTAGTTAATTCAAGAATATTAGAGAGGGAAGGGCTTTAGAAGTTATAAACATGGACATTATAAAGACACACTTAATTTGTTTTAATCTGTGGTATCTGCAGAGGAAAAAGAGTCTTGGATAGCAAAGCTGGAAAAAAAAACCTGCTGAGAACTTTCCTACACAGTATAATTGGTGCTTTGGTAGGTGAATTAAGAGTCAGTATAGCTTTGTATATACAGTCATGTGTTCAAAATGATTTTATTATGCATTCAAAACTCTCATTTTTATTGCTGATATGTTCATCTTGTTTATAATGTTTTACAACATCAGCACACGCTTATCCAGTGCATTGCCTTTGTTTTCAGGCTCAGAGGCTAGCCTCCATGAGGAACCACACAGCTACCCACTTGTTAAACTTTGCACTCCGCCAAGTCTTGGGAGACTGCACAGAACAGCAGGGATCCAGTGTGACTGCTGAGCATCTGCGATTTTTTGTCAACACCAAGGTGCCTGGTATCCCCAAACTACTCCACATTTAGAGCAGGGAGGATAAGAAAACCTGGAACACACCTAGAGTTGAGCTGCAAAAGTTAGTTCAACACCTACTATCTTGTCCCCTAACATATGAATGAGACAGCCTTTAGACTTCAGTCATTGTTAGCAGTCCTGGTATTGAAACAGTATTTTTATTTATTAAATTTGTTTGCTGGCCATCTTGCCACAAGTATTCTCCTTATTCCTCCATCACTGACCAAGGACAGCCACAGGGCATATAAATTCTGTTGGATTTGGTCATTCTTTACCATGGAGGAAAATTTGGTTAATGAGTAATTTGATATAGATAACAAAGGAGAGAGAGAATTGGCAGTGGGAAGAGTGAATGTCTTGCAGTACAGATTTTTGTCAAGGATGGAGAGCATCCAGCATTGAAGAAAAGTGCTAAAATAACAGATGGGGGGAATTGTATGTTATGCAGGTCCAAATTCAATGTATAAATGGAGGTGGAGTGATGTAAGCAATTTTGTTTTGGAGCACTTAACTATAGATTTATGTTTTAATGTGTAACATGCACAAGACAACTCATCAATTGCCATGTAATCCTAATTGCTATTGTGACTACTTGGTGTTTTCACACTAAAAGCCTAAAAATGTAAGTTTTGATAGCATTCTCTTACACAAAATTGGTATATATTGGCAAACAAATCTTATATAGTTTGGTTCAAGAACTATTGATTCCAGTTTTTAAATGAGAATACCAAAGCTTAAAAATTTAGTGAGTGTTAACTCCTGAAACTGAATTTTGGAAACTAATCATCCACTCTTTTGCATTCTACAATACACTAAACTTCATGTTGTGTAATGCTGCATCTTTCTGATGAAGAATATTTTTCTTCATCAGGTTCCCATAAAAACAGAAAATCTGCAAGAGGTAGAAAGTGTGGTCCAAGAGATGATCAAAAGGAATGAAACTGTCTATACACGAAAAGCTCCCCTTAATCAGACCAGTGATGTTCTAGGACTCCGGAAACTGGATACGGTAATTTGGGGGATTGCAGTGACTAAAGGAAAAAGTCTTAAATAGCTAAAAATCACATCCATAGTAATCTCAGCCAGGATAGGTATTTTGTTCTGGAGATATTTAGAGTCATTTCTGGGTAATATTTACATTCTTGAATGTATTTTTAATTGAAATGTCTAACAATTACAAATATTATGCATTTTAAAAGTGATTCCAAAATTACTACATGATTCTCCCCATTTGTTTTGCATTTTGATGCATATAATTTCTCCAAGAACTTTTTACTAAATTCTACTGTGAATTATATGGTCCTTTGAAATTAAAATTCTGACCTATAAAGAACTGTTAGATGTTTTTTATCTCTAATTTAATGGGGCTTTTTTACCTCAGGATAGATAGATCAAAGGATGTGTCTGTGAGTGTTGGTGATTAATTTTTTGGTACATTTGAAAGAAAATGTTAATAAAAACCCTAGAAAAACATAGACTACATTTTAGAGCTTTATATCATGCTCTTCCATGATTGAACCAGGTTTGTACAGAGAATATAATCATATTTCATCTGAACAGTTATATTTCCTGCATGATCAAGATTTTCAGTTATGTAAAATTCTCATTTATGCCTTGCCTGTAACTTTTTTCAGCTAAACACATTCATTGTCTTCTTCCATATTCAGCATACAAAGTTGGGAAAAGCATGCGTGACCCCCCTCTATATTTGTTAGTATATAACTCCAAAATGGGCCTTACAGAGCACAAGTGCTGCAAAATATAATTGGTTAAATTTCAAAGTAAATTGGATTTAAAAACATCTGAAATAGCCAGTATTGTGTATAATTCTGTATGCTTTCTCTATAGTTATGCTACCTGGCTTCTGCTTCTGAATCCCATTTCCATAATACTTGTTCCTTCCCCCTTTGTTTTAATTCCCAGCCACAAAATATTGAGCATTCTAAAAAAAGGAACCTTTGAAATTCATGGAATTTGAGAATCTCAGAAACGTAGCCAAGCATTTGGCTGACTATTATTGAAAATATGTCAGGTTCAACCAATTTTCACTTGTTTCTATTAGTAATATCTTTCTCATCCAGTAGCAATTGTTCAGGAGCGTTAGTGGTCATAGCACATGATCTAAGCCCTATCCCTTTGTGTATGTATGTGATGCTGACACAAACAAAGGTGACAGGGCTTGGATTGTGCTGCTGTAATGCTACCTTTAAGAAAGGTGGACAAATGAATGGAGATAGTGTGTTCAGATCTTCCCACAGATTAGTCTTCAGCACATTCTCAAGGGTGCTGCCATCTTACACATAATTATGTCCATGTAATAGTTGTAGCTTACCAATTGTACAGCCAATTATTGCCATGCCATGTGGTCTTCTCTGAAATCTTTCAGGTGTATCCCGATCTGGTTCGTATTGTGTCAGTAGGTGTCCCAGTTGAAAAAGTCTTGGCTGAGGGTTCCAAACATGCAGTGAATACCTCTGTGGAACTGTGCTGTGGAGTGCAAGTATTTCTGTCCTGTTTCTTTTAAATTGGGATGTTTTGCGCGTGCCTTGAAATTGTGTGTGGGAAGTGGGTTTCCCTGAAAATTCTAATCTGCTTCCCAGTTTCAGTAGGAAGAAGGTCTACATAATGTCTGCAGTCTGCCACAGCTCTCTCTCTGCTGCAATATAACTGCCAAGGGTCTTGGATGGCAGCTCCCTCCCGCATACTGTATTTGTAATGAGACTCTTACCTTACATTAGCAATATAAAATGACACATTGTAATTTAAGTGCCAAGGAGAAGGATAGTTTTAAAACACTGTCAACATACAGATTTTTGTTCTTATTTTTCTTCTTGCTCCTTGGTTATTTATGATTGCAAACACTTGAAGTTCAGCACAGGTGAACTATTTATTGACCTAAGCTGGTAGGTGGTTTGGTCCTAGAAGGTGGGAGATTGGAGGCTGTCTTGTCTCTGCCATTTACTGTTTCTTTAATAGGCTTATTCCAAAGGTCTTTTATATGTTCTGAAGTGGGCTTTAGATTTTTGACTCCTTTCAAAATACAAAGTCTATTTGCTGCTCCTTCTCTCTCGTCCAGACACCTTCTGCAAACAGGAGATGTACAAGATTTCACCATCATCTCAGAGCAGCAGATGGCTAAAGGAATCAGCCATATTGTTGCAGTGACAGGAGAGCAAGCCAGACAAGTAAGACCTCGGTGAAATAGCTGCTAGACCTTTCCAAAGATACAGATTCCGGTGCTGTTTAAACAGGCCCCAGGATCTGCTGTCCTTCGCTTTCCCTTTGATCTGCATTGTCCGGAGAGGGGTGCCCTTTCCAATGTTCACCTGTTGCCTCCAGTCTCATGCTGGAGGCAAGCACTATGCTCTTTTCTTTCCATCTCTGTTCAAATTCTGGAATTCAGAATCACTTAAACAAGTTTGCAGTTGAACTAGTTCCAAGCCCTGATTTGATTTGTCCTCTTCTGCTCTCTTATAATGTTGGGTAACCTGCAATTGATATTGGAGAATATCTAAGAAGATAAGTTTCAAATTCAAGATTGAATAAGATTTCTGACATGATACTAATATCATCATAACCATTCTATGAAGATAGAATAATTGTTAGGGTCAGTTCCTCTCCACTTTGTCCAAGCTTTGTCTTTTTCCATACTTAAGGAGGAGGGTAAAGATAAAATAGCATGAAGTGAGACTTCCGGTTTTGCACCATAGCACACAGCTGATGGATTGCAGAGCCCCGCATTTCACGGCTAGTTTCACCCTGCCAGGGGACCCTAAATGGGTCTAAAGACACCCCGGAGAGGTGGTAAAAATAGGGCAAGACAACAGGATTTAATAATGAAGGCTATCTCTTTTCTTCAGTTGTCATCTCTCCCATTCAGCTTTATTCAAAACTCCTGAGGCTTTTAGTCTGTGCAAGTGCTTATTTTAGTTTCACCGTAACTCTCCCACCAACATACATATCTCTAGGAGCAATCTCCTTTCCTGATCTCATTAATTTCACCCCCTCCTTAGAATACATTTTAAGTGTTATGTGTTTTCTGGCTTTTTTCTCATCACCAGCAAGCAACCCACTGTATGCTCTCATGAATAGAAGCCCTTTTTCCAGGGATCCAGCAAACAAGGTAAATAAGGTGATATCTCTGTTTTTATAGGCTCAGGATATTGGCCAGTTCTTGGCCACAGAGGTGGATTCCCTTGCTACCCGAGTGAAAGTGGGAGGAGCCTCAGTCAGTGAAGCGTGGCGAATCTCCAAGGAAGTTGGTCATCTGACTGATGTGAGTAGTGCCTGCCTACTCAAAAGAATTCACAAGAGGTTTTTTTTAATGCTGTCACATGACCTTATTCTCACATTAAGCTCCTAGTTGTCAGGTAAGCTTATATTATCTGATACTTGTTGAACAAATGGAAATATTAGTATATTATTTGAGGGTAGGATATCTGATTTTAGGTCTGGATCCTTTGATAATTTAAATGTTTATTGAAGATTGCTCTTCCCCCCCCCCCACCCCTATATGAGGTCAATATACTCAGCATAGATATACTTGTCATTAACCTGGAGGTGCCCTGGTGGTTAAAGTGCAGCACTGCAGAAAAATTCTGCCCACAGGCTGGAGTTCAATCCTGATGGGGCTCAAGGTTGACTCAGCCTTCCATCCTTCCGAGGCCAGTAAAATGAGGATCCAGGCTGTTGGAGGAAATATGCAAATGATGCTTAGATTGTAATTTGCCCGATGAGTGCTGTAGACTGCTATGGGGCAGTATAGAATGTAAATGTTATTGCTATTGCTAACCTGTTTCAAGGGCTTCATTTTTCTCTCTGACTGACCATCATCCTATTTCCCTTCCTTTGATTTCAGTAAAATGACTGGCCAGTAACATGTATGGATCAACAGGACTCACTAAAGAATGACATTTTTTTTATATCAATGCACTGCACATCATGCTGAAATGTCTCTTGTTTAAGAGTAAAATTAAGGTTCATTCACTCAAACAAACTCTGTCCTTTTAACTATAGAATTAAAAAAAATATTCTGCCTTCAACTGCATTGCTGGAAAATCCTTTCTCCCATCTGAAAAAGAATCTATGAAATGGAAAGGCATAATGGAACTGATTTGTTTTACAGAGGGTGGATACTACCAAGATGCCTCAGTGGCAGAAAAGAAAACTGCAGGCTTCTCTCAAAACACTGCAGCAAGCAGCCAATAATGCCCATAGGAAAATGGAAATCAGACTGGTAAGGATCCAGCAGTGCTTCATTTGGGCAGGCATGACAGAATTTCATAGTAAGCTACAAAAATTTAAATAAGCAAAGAGGCATAATCAACTAATAGTCTTAATAAAAACTAAATGACAGTTAAATCCTATTGTGACAAATTCTGAGCTGGAGGTTTATTATGTTGACTTCAGAATGACTAATATTGTAATTAATTACATATATGTGTAGAAATACATTTTAAATACCGTATATGCCGGCATATTAGGCGACCCGGCGTATAAGACGACCCCCGTCTTTGGCGCCGAGTCGCATTCCTAGAACATCGTCTTATACACCGGAAACTACCAGTATTTCCAGCGTATAAGACGACTCGGCGTATAAGACGACCCCCGTCTTTGGCGCCGATTTTAATGCTTGAGGAAGTCGCCTTATACGCCCGCATATACGGTAAATGAATATATAAAAAAGTGTAGTAAGTGGCACCATTCCCAAATGAAGTCACATCCTTCAATGATATATAAACTGTCATATACTTTGAATAACTAAGGGGACTGATCCAAGAGAAACTCCATGGCAGAATTCATAGCATTCTCCACCATTGGCCCTGTTGGCTGGAACGTCTGAGATTTGCAGTTAACCAATTGGTAGCTTCAGCTGCTACAAAGAAACAGAAGGAAAAAAATTTTGATGAGTGAGGGAAAGATGAATAGTCTAATAGAACAAATCTGAGCCTGGTTATCAGGATGTTCAGCTTATGATAGTTTTGTGAGACAAGAGCTCAAGAACAGGTTAACAGGTCTTTTTTGAATAAAGCATCTTCAACTTTAGAGATGAGGAGTCCTCTTTTTATACTTAATCTTATGCTTTGTTTGTAAAACAAAAACCAATGAGCTCTCCATGATTATCTGACTTAAAGAATATTACTGAGGAAATAGATCTACACTAATGAACTACACTAATCTTTTCTGGTGTAATATGGACCTTCCTACTGTTAATTTTATATGTATATGTATATGCATACATACATACATACATATATGTATATAGAAACCAGAAAATATGGATGTTTTATAGCAACCATTTTATTTTATGCGTACATAGTCCAAGGTCTTATGTTCTTGCAGTGGGATTTCCTGTTTGCTTTATATTTGCTATTTTTAAAGCAGTCATTAATGCAGATGCCACTGATATTTCATTGACAGTATCACCTCTCTTCTGTACATTTTATGTCAGTTACCCAACCATTATTGATGCATGTTGTACATTCTTTCCCAAGGCTGCAGAGAAGGTGCAGGACTTGCTGACAAAGTATTCCAATGAGCCAGTCATTATTGACACTATTCCTGCTGAGACACCCTATGTGAGTTTTAACCAACTGTGGATTTCTCTTAGAAAGCAGCATACCAGCCCTTGGCCATGCTGAAGTTGTTTTGGCAGTCAGCAGATTAAACTTGCTTCCTCAAGTGTTAAGCAGCTTAGAGCAGAGGAAGGATCACGTCTGAACTGCTCAAATAGTGTGAGTGGGCTGGTTAGTTCTGAACCCTTTAATAATTAGTTTCCTCCTCCTTTTACAGTTCTCGTGTTATGTAAACTGAAAACCTTCCTATTCACCAGTTCTCAACCTAACTGTTGTTCATTTCTCTGTCTCAGTCCAGGGTATATTGCACTGCTTTATAACATGATACAATTTAAAATATTGAAGACTTCTTCTGCATCTTAAATTCCTTGATGAAAACGAGTAATTTTTTTGAAGGTGGAGTTTCATTTTTATCTTTTGTTTTTATCCTAGATCTTGATGAAAGCAGTCAATCAACTGTGTAACAAAGTACCAGGGGCTTCTGTGATGTTGTTTAGCTCACCAGTACCAGGCCAGGTGTTTTGCGCTTGCCAGATATCCAAGGTAGGTGGGATTCCCTGTGATTCTGAAGTTTCCATTATTCTCAAAGGATAGAAGCAAAATCTTCATGTTCTTTGAATGAGAACAAATTTTGAAATGTTTTTTTTCATGTAGAAATTTTTTCACAATTTTCTCTTAATGACATTAAGAGAAAATTTTGATTTTCATTTTTTGAAATGGCTCAGTAAAGTACTAGAATGCTTGTTTGGTGTCAAGGTTAACACATCAGGCTAGAAACCCATGAGGCTGTGTGTTCTAGTCCTGTCCTAGGCACAAATCCAGCTGAGTGACTTGGGCCATCCCCTCTCTCTCAGCCCTAGGAAGGAGGCAATGGCAAACTACTTCCAAAATTGTACCAAGAAAACTGTAAGGACTTATCCAAGCAGTTGCCAGGAATCAACCCTAACCCTAACATCCTTACAGAAGAATTTCATCACCATTGTGCATAAGCAATTTTATAAAAATGAATTAGTGCCTCTGCAGCATTCATATACTAGGTTATAAAGCAGACAAATATCTCAGTTTTTCATTCCACGAAAATGATCTCGGCCCAAAGTTTCAGTCTTCCACTTTTAGTTACATGCGGGAAATCACATGTTGGAGATGATTGTTGTTATGGTGATGGAATTTGGCCAAACAAATCAGAGATGCTAATTAAGGCAGGGCTAACATAAGAAAAGTTGATCAGAAGAAATGACTGATATTAAAGGAATGGTAGGCACTCTCAATATGCTGTCACTGAAACTATAGGAAATGAATTTATTATTTCTTAAATAGTTTCCTTGTTGCTCATATATCCAAAGAATGTCCTCTTTAATATTCTAAACCAGGGGTCCCCAACCTGTGGGCTGTGGCCCGGTAGTGGGCTGGGGCCTGCTGGCCACTGGGCTGCAGGACAGGCTGGCCAGTGCGCGCGTGTGTGCACGCACACACAACCCACTTGTGGTAGTGCTGCGGCCATGCTGCATGAAAACAGGCCACCGTCATACCACAGGGCATGAAAATGGGACACCATTGCACTGCAGGGTGCGAAAACAACACCGCTGTGCTGCAGGGCAGTAAAATGAGATGCCACCACGTCACAGGGCACAAAAACACCACACCGTGGGACACAAAAACAGGATACCATCGTACCACGGAGCGCAAAAATGGGATGCGGGGTGCAAAACCAGGCCGCCGCCGCATTGTGGGCGCAAAAACGGACAGCACTGTGCCGCGCAAGAACAGAGTAGGGCTAGCGAGTATCACACAAGTGCTAGCCCCACCCTGTTTGCATCACGTGCGTCCTTGTGGCCCCATGCACACGCATGTAAAATGCTTCCCCCTCACTTTCCCTCTGGTCCGCCAACCAAGAAAGGTTGGTGACCTCTGTTCTAAACAACCACGTTAATTTACAATATTTTAGTTATCAGTTTGTATTACTTTCAGAAATATGTGAAATCTAATCTTTGAACACACTAATATATGAAAAAATATCAGTGGTAGATGATTTATATCAGGGTTTTCTCTTGGTGATTAATTAAATTGCTTTAATATACCAATAGTCCTTGACTTACTATCATTTGTGTAACAACTGTTCGAAGGTACAACCGTGCTGAAAAAAGCAATTTATGACAGTCTGAGCATGATCAAATCCATGCATTTGGCAATTAGCATGTATTTACAAAGACTGCAACATTCCAGGATCACATGAGCATCATTTGTGGCCTTCCTAGGGGGCTTCCAACAAAGTCAATGGAAAAGTCGAAATTGCTTAATGACCACCACCCCACGATCCACTTAATAACCATGGCAAAAAAAATAATAAAATCAAGTGTGACTTAATGACCTCATCACTTAGCAACAGAAATTCCGGTCCCAAATATGGACGTAAGCTGAGGACTACCTTAAATCAGTTCACTTTTGATTTCCCTTAATGTCTAACAAAGATTGCAAATCGTCAAATTGTTCTCACTTCCATATAACAAAATGGACAAAAGTGGCTTCTTATGTACAGTCTCCATTTAATTCAACAATTTTTTCTTGCCACAGACCACATATGACCAATAGCCTTTTCACCAGTATCTTAAAATTTCTCCTTCCATTACTCATCTTAATAAACATTCTACTAAAGTATACAAATTCAGAGAGCCAGATTGGTGTAGTGGCTAATGCCCCAAGCTGGAAATTAGAAGACTAAGCTCTTGGGCCAGTTACTGTCTCTCAACCTGAGGAAGGAGATATATATGTGTATCACACAAACACACACAGAGTATATCTCCTGCCTAATATATATATCCTACCTAAGGCTGAGAAACTGGCCAAGTACTTAGTGTTCCAGTAACACACACATCTACTTTCTTTACTTTTTTACCTTGTAGATATAATTTGCAATTATTCACTCAATTTTTCCATATTCCTGACTAACAGCTCTATTTTGGTTTTTATTATCTTAATTTTCAGAACTCTATTCCTAGTTGCTTCATATAACCTAATATTCATGAGAAATCATGTAGGGTCTCAACTAACAATAAAATATCATCTACATACAAAAGTATATGTAGTCCATAATTCAGGATATTCATATTATCATACACTTTCTCTAAACCAGTTAATGCACAATGCACTTTTTTCACATGAATACATTTCTCAATGGCCTGCTATAGAGCAAAAATCTGATTGTCATTCTCAGCAGTTCATCTATGTTTTATTAATTTGTTCCCTTTCTTAGAGTTCATTATCAAAGGCTTCGGCAGCTGACTGGGCTCTCGCTGTTTGTACTCAAATGGGAGGCAAAGCAGAAGGTTCTGGAATTGTAGCTAAAGGCATGGCGAAGACTGATGATGTACAGATGATATTGGCAGCAGCCCAGGAATATGCAAAGAATGTATTTTGATGCTTGATTGTGAGGAATCTGGATGTTCATTTGAATGATTGTGAATCCCTATCAACTTTGTACAATATGGTCCTGCAATCCTGTGGATTCTTCTGGATTATTGAATTGGTAGAATGAGCTGCTTTGGCTAGCCGATGTATATAAAATAACTTCTTTCATGAAATACAATTTGCACATGATGTTAAGAAGAACAACAAAGATTATCCTTTGACCAGCCACATAAGCACAAGGCAAGCCAACCATACAGGTAAATATAATCAACCTCTCAATATAGCCGCTAAGAAAGAAATAACTATATTTCTTTGATAATAAAAGATATAAGTTTGTTGGCTGCAAGATGATGTTTTTTATTTAGTAAAATAAAAAGTATGCTGTCTCATTGGAACCATTTTCCCGACTATGCAATGGAACAAATTATTTCCAGGCAAGTATGCTATCTAGCCTTTCTCTGGTTGGTTGTACAAATTTTGCAAATAAGAATTACTTCGAAGGGAGCATTTGTTGTTTAAAGTGCTTCATACAAATAATAATTCTGTTGCAAACCACTCTGAGCTTGCTATATCCAGATTTATCATCTACTTTTAATTATCTGTCAGGGTTTGCTAATTTTCAAATCATTTTTTATCCTATCCTTATCCTTTTTATAGTGCTCTGAAATCAAGACTATAACCTTACAATAATTTTTTGGGGAACAGAGGGTGGCAAACTTGTGGTTTTCAGAAAAACAATGTAGCAAACCAATTGATGGACAAAAATAGCAAATTTGGGCTGGCCCTTTGTAAAGTCTCATAGTATGAGACCCTTTTAAGCCTTAGTTACAGAACTATTCTCTTGTCATTTGATGGAAAGTATCAGCTGAGACTTTCCCATAGACTCAGGGTCTAGCCATGAGGTGTTTTTTATAAAAGAAAAAAGAAAAAAAGACTGTTACTGGAAATTCATAGTAGGACTTAATGAATCTTTCCTGGAAAAAGCACAACCTCTTATTTTTAGATTCCAATCTTCCTAAAAGTGTTCCTGATGATATTTTGGCAATCAGAGGATTTTGAGTTTTCTTAACTAAATGTTAAATCACCCCTGTCAACAACAGAGAAGAAAAATACATACATGTTTGTGTGTTCTTAATTACAATCAAGCACTGTCCTAATACATGGTTAACTAGCAAACATAGAGTATTTTACAATGTGAACTTTTGGGGACTATATTCCTTGCTTCAGTCAGCACTGGTGCATTGGAAGTGAAGGAAACTCAAATCCATTTGGTTTGTTCATGCTTCTGAAAACAGCAGAGCTAATGTTCAGAATGTCTTTGTTTGGATTCTGAGAAGCAAAAAAAAATGTTTGCATTAGTGTAATCTTCCATCATTGTCATCAATATGATACTTCTTCAAAAAGAAAACAATTTTCACATAAAAGCTATATCCATCATGTCCCTATTTATTTATTGAATTTATTTGCTGTTAATCTTGTAACAAAGATTAACCCGTGCACCACTTTAAATGCAGTTATAAGCCAAAATGCTAGCTTAGCCACATTCTCTATTTATGTTCCAGCTAAACAGCATGTCAGTGGTGTTTTGCTGATTTCTCAATTAAACCATGGCCCAGAATTTCAAGAAATTTCTACAGTATTAGTATTACAAATCCTTTATATCATTTTTTTAAAAAGTATATTATTTCACACTTTTTAAAGACTTTCATCAAATCTAATATTAATAACTTCTTGAGTAAATAGTGGTTTGTACAGTATAATTGGTCTATTAGCAACAAACGTTTTGCAACAGGCCTTAAGTTGCCTACAAATAAAATAAAAACTTAATGTAATTATCAGCAGAGGAGCATGTGTTAATTGTTCTTCAGTCTGCTGGCCCTTATCCATAGGACCTAGCCATTTCTGTGGAATTTTTTCTAGTGATGCAATTGATAGTTTTGTTTTAGACAAGCAGTACTTTGAACGCTGTCTTCACTACCCAGGAACATCATCTCTTGCGAGATAGTAGAGAAAATGCAACGCTCAAATCACTTTAGTAATGAAAAAACCCTATTCCTTTAGATGTGATAACACTACTACTTTCATCGTCTCCGACCTAGTATTTTATGGGAGTTGGACTTCAATAACTTCAGAGGATATACATTCCATAATCTTATATCAGCCAGTAATTGATATAAAATGGGCGGCTATATAAATATTTTAAATAAATAAACAAACCTGTTTTAAAGCTCTGCCACCATCACTGCAAATTCTAAATTATTTAACTCTACGTAGGAGCAAAGAGTACAATGCCACATACGCACCTGTACTATAAGGCCTTCACTGATGGAGAATGAGTATATAAAACCATCCTGTGACCTGCTTCCATTGCCTTCTTTAGGCTGCTGGAGTGGTGGCAGCTGAAGAGAGCCTGGCGATTCATTAAGCCTGGCCTGTCTCTTCTGCAGCAGCAGCTGATTTCTCAGCACTAGAGAAAATAAAAATATTAGTTACAAAGCTTTTTTTTTTTTAACCTAGGTGGAAAACATTTTACCTACCGGTATGTTAAACAAAGTTTCACTGAGGAGACTTGAAATATACTTGTAAGGTCCTGCCTCAACTAATCCTCCCAAGAAAGCAGAACTCTTGAAACAGGCATCATCTCAAAAGGAACTTTTATTGAGAGGTAGTGATAGCAAGAAAGCAAAGCAAGATCTAGTATATTCCCATGCGAAATGTTACATTAAAGCATCCCTTGCAGACCCCAACAGCCAAATGTCTAGTTTGATTTCATCCAATCCTCAGGTGCAAAGTTATGAGAACCAGATTGATAAGTGTAGTTCCCATGCACCATTCTCAGGGTTTCATTTTCCTCTCGGCCTCTTGATCTCCTTTCCTTGACTCAGAGATAAGACAGATGGCCCAGGGCACATTCCTTCTTCCATTTACACCCCATGCATCAAAGCACATACCAGCCTTCCTCCTCCCAGCAGAATAGCGGAACAGCCTCCTCCCCCCTCCCAACAGAATGGCAAACCAGAAAGAGAAAGCATTTAACAAATGAGGGTCTGACAATACCATCAGAATGCTGATGGAAATGCTAAAAGGAAGTGATAATGGATAAAAGTTGGAAAGTGCAACAAGGCTTTATTCCCTGTACAGCAGTGGTTCTCAACCTTTTTAATGCTGCGACCCCCAACCAGTCGTAAGTTGAGTACTCAATCGGTCGTAAGTCAAGGACTAAAGTGGTCGTAAGTCGAGGACTACCCAACCGGTCGCAAGTTGAGGACTTTCCCTGCCCGGGAGCGCCGCGCATGTGTGGTGCCACCCCCTGTGCCGGCCGAGGCGTAGCTGGCAAGCGGCAGGGATGGCGCAGGCCGACCACCTGCTGGGCCACCAGCTGGCCCAGCCCAAGGGAGGTAAGGCACCCGCCGGGCCCCACGCACGCCAGCAACCCTCCCTGCGCCCGCCGGCCTCCCACCTCCCACCCCTGGCCCTCTTTTACTTACATTTTTAGTAGTTGCTCAACAGGGAGGGGTGGAAACTTCCAGACAGCTTGCCTTCGCTGCAGACAACTTGCAGCACCGTTTGCAGAATGGGACTTTTGGCGGGCTCAGCACGGCAGAGACAGCCTGGACAATTCCTATTGGCTTTTGAAAGCCAATAGAATTAGACTCTATTCAAGAGAGTCTATTCTATTGGCTTTCAAAAGCCAATAGAATAAAAGGGAGTAGCACAGCTAAGGAAAAGGGGGGGAAAAAGGGCGGACTGCGTTGTTTGGCGACCCCTGTGACATGGTCGTTCAACCCCAAATGGGGTCGCGACCCACAGGTTGAGAACCGCTGCTGTACAGGGATGTGGAAGCTAGATTTTTTTGCTCTTTGGTAGGTTATTGAGAAATGTAAACATAAACAAGTTTACTGAGCATTTCTTGATTTAGAGAAAGTATAAGAAAAATTGAAGTGGCCTGAATTATGCAATACTTCGCATGTTTATGTAGGTGGGTGCTACTGCAGGATAGAGCAGTATATGATGGAAATAAAGCATATGTGAGAATAAATGCAATCCCTAATGAATTGTTCAGCATTGTCTCGTTGGTTATTCAGTATATTTATGGATATGTTTGTAAGGAATACTTGTGGCGAAGATAGAGGTTATATTGATTGGGGATGTAAATATATGTGTACTCGTATTTGCAGGTAAGGCTAAATATCAAACTGATCTGCAGTGAATGTTAGCTTCTACAATTCAAGAAGGACTACGGATTTTAAGGTTAATGTGATGCTTTAGTTGTGGCAGGAAAATGGAGAGAAAAAATCTAAATTAAACATACTGTAGTATGGTTTATTCAGAAAGGGGACTGCACAATCGCTATGTGTTTATGTCTTTTCTCAGATTTTCAAATGGCAACAGACCTACCTGGAGCTCTTTGTGCACTTGCCACAGATCTCTTAAGCCAGTGTTTTTGAAAGGCAGCCCAATATGGCATTAGTATGCTGGAGACTGAATCCTTCAGACTGTCAAATAAACTTGGAGGTGGAATCTCCTTCTGGAGGGCCTGCTCAGCTGCCCGGATAGCTCTGCCCAGCCTCTTATTATCCACTGCCACCTGCGGGGCAATCCAAAGACATTTAACATTCTGCACGACAAGATGATCCCTGGAACTATAGCTCCTTCTACCTTTTCTTCTCCAATCACACAATAAGACCCAGATATAATTATCTGGAGGTCAACTGTATGATCTTCCCTTATTTTCCTGCAATTTTGATCTCTGTTGGGATGGAATCTGGTTTCACTGTTAAAATTACGGTACTAAAGCAGCAGTAAATGATCAGCCAGGACATTCTCTAGATAAAAGAAGCTGAAATAAATTTAGCTAATGGGAGGTAGATGATGGCATTTTATTATTTTAGCATTGCTTCTTTGGGAGGGAATACTGACTACTAGATTGTTAGGCTTCTCAAGGCTTCCTAGGAAATTTTCTCTGAAGTTCTTGATGCTATTGTTTTGACTCCTTGTCAAATTCCTGGGCAAGTTATAGTATCAGTGATGCTAGTTTCTTTCACAGATGCTTATGTGACTACCATTTATTTGTTAATAAAAAAAAAAGTGTATTACCTCCATTCCTTTAACTGCTCAGGGCAGTCTGTAAGCAACAGTTAAATATCACAATATATCACACATTAAAATGTCTAATAAATCTGTTTTGAGGCCAACCCTAAACTGTAGGATGGCTTCCCCCGTTTCAATTAAATCCCAAGGAAGATATGATGAAATCTATTTTTCAATGAGCATTTTCTATATTGGTGTGCTATTCTCTGCTCTTGAGATATTGTTGGAGAATTTCACTTTTCTTTTGGAAATTTTTGAAGAAAATATTCTCTGCCAACAAATTTTTAAAAATAATAATAATAGTAGTAGTAGTAGTAGTAGTAGTAGTAGTAGTAGTAGTAGTAGTAATAATAATAATAGAGTTGGAAGGGACCTTGGAGGTCTTCTAGTTCAACCTCTTGCTCAGGCAGGAAATCCTATACCATTTCAGACAAATGGTTGTCCAGTCTCTTCTTAAAAACTTCCAGTGTTAGAGCATTCACAACTTCTGGAAGCAGGCTGTTCCGCTGATTAATTGTTCCAACAGTCAGGAAATTTCTCCTTAGTTCTACGTTGTTTCTCTCTTTGATTAATTTCCATCCGTTGCTTCTTGTCCTGCCTTCAGGTGCTTTGGAGAATAGCTTGTCTCCCTCTTTTTTGGAACATTGCTATCGTGTCCCCCCTCGTCCTTCTCTTCATTAAACTAGACATACCCAATTCCAGCAACCGTTCTTTATTTGTTTTAGCCTCCAGCCCCCTAATCATCTTTGTTCCTCTTCTCTGTACTCTTTCCAGAGTCTCAACATCTTTTTTACATCGTGGTGACCAAAACTGGATGATTATTTCTCTGTAACACAGTGTAACAATCAAGACGATTGTCCTTGACCATAAGATAGTATGAGCACTCTTACATAGAAGTGAGATAATCATATACATACATCAAGTTGATTGGTAAGAAATGATTAGCAAAAATACAGGGAAACTATTTTACATTTGTTTCCCTGTATTTTTACTAATCAATTCTTACCAGCCAACCTGTTAAATAGGCCACTCCGCCTGGGGAATAAAAATACCATTGATATTGTGAGCTCTTACCTGTAGCCGAGGCTCAATCTGAGAAGCAAGGAAACAGTCACGTATCACAAGAACCTTTTTCTTCAGAAGAGCCATGTCAGGCCAGTCATGATGAGCATTTCTAAATTTCTGCACTTCCAGTAGAAAATGCAAACCACTCTCCAGCACAGGTGTGCCATATACCTGGAGGTGTTTAATGAAATGGAGCATCTCCACAGTGGGCCAGCCTTCTGCAGCCTCTTTTAGAGACTGCCAGAAAGAGTCTTTGTCTTCCCTTGTAGGTTTTGCTGTGGCTGCTGATGCATCTTGTGCTTCCTTGTTCCTTAAATGCCTAAGAGCTATTTTTCCAGCTATCACATTTAGGAATGGTTCCAGCTTGCACCAGCGTTCTTCTGGAATCTGAGAAGGCACCAGTCCATATTTCTTCAACCCTTCACTCATCTCATCCCAAAATTGCTCAAAAGTAGGAACAACCAGGGAACGTAATAAAAGCTGGATTTCATTCCAGGTGATGTCAGTAATTTCTCCCCGGGCCACTTCTTCCTTTATTCTTTTCTTCAGTTCTTTGGGGAAGGGGATACTGGATCTCAAAACCCCCAGCTTGTTCCACATATCTAGAAATCTGACTGCACAATTTAGGTGTTTTTCATGTGCTGGGACTTCCACGCAGGCCTCCACTTCCTGTAGCAGTCCTAAAACCATCTGAAGCTCTATATTCTGCATTTTACAAGCTGCCTTTTTGTACACATTGAAGAGAACTGGGTTGCTAAGAAAATCTGGCACATTTTGAGGGGTGGGTGAGTCCTGAAGAACTGGTGATTTTTCCCTACTTCCCTGGTCTGTACTGCTTCTGCTGGAAGATTTGGAAACCACCCCTGTAGGAGATTTGGAAACCACCTTCTGTTTACCCCTTTTCCTGTGTAACCCTCTTTCTTTTGAGCCATGAATATAGGTGTTTGGTTTCTGCTTCTTTAACCTGTAGGCAGAATGGCATATAAATAAAGGCTAGTACAGCACTTCTCACAGAATTTCCTCTTACAGAAAGAATACAAACGTTCAGTTAAAATATTACCACTGAATGAAACAATATTACTGATATACAAAGAAAACATTTATGTTTAAGAATAAACAGCACAAATATCCTAAATGCCATGAATTAATCTGCAAAATGAATTCTGGCTTCAAAATTTGCAAATTTCACGTATTATTTGGCAAAGGGTGAAACAGCAGCTGAAGGCAAAGAAGAACAAGGCTAAGAAATCGGTCTGGACAGAGAGGCAGAAGCTGGGATGTATGTAAGCCTATTCTTTCAACCCTGGAAGCCAAGGTCAAAACCAATTTCATTTGCAGATTCCTTTCTTCCACAACCATGAGGGCTAGAAATTAAATCTCGTATGCCAAAACTGGAACAATTAAATTCTGGATTGTACTAATTGTTTGTTGTACTTTAGTTTCCTCTTTGTACTAATAATTGAGTTATTGCAAAGAACAAACATTTGAACTTCCAAATCTTGGTCTAATTGCTGTATTTTTCTTGCTGCATTATCTCAATGTCACTTCCTTCAACATCTTATTCATACCTTTAGAAATTAACTCCAACTACTGATTTACTTTCGAGGCAACACTACAATCTTACAGCCTTCTCCACAGAAATCCTCCTGAGTTAAATTACACTTTCAAGTAAGTCTATATAATAAACCACAATATAAAAAAATCTATTTTAAAATATTGATATAATTTGGAGATATGGCACCATATGGACACCCAGGCTACCAAAGTGACCTTTCATTTCCACAAAGGTTTTAAATACCTCCCACTTCTGTCCTGATTGCTTTTATGGTCTTTGCTTTCAGAATTTTGGACATCCAAATGAGATATTGGTACACAGTATCTGTAAGAAAGAAAAGTTAGCTAAAAATATATTTAAGTTATGATTGGAGGGTTTACAAATTATTTGTAATAAGTTTTCTTTTGGCCAAAGGGATAATGGATGTCTCATGTAATTGGTTAGATTCATGAACTCTTAAAATCTTCATTAACATAGCAAAAACATTTGGATTTGGCCATTGTCTGCACAATATTACATAAAGACTCAATTTATAGTGTTGCGGGCGCATAATCTTTGAAATATCTCTCGACAGAAAATGCATACATTTTATTTTCAGAAAATTCAGAATAGGACATCTTGGGACTCACTCAAGGAAAGTTGTGACTTCATGGCGAACATAATGCAGCCACAGCCCACCCAAAATAGGCAGCACATATTGAATCATGGGTTCAAAAGCAGAAAATGTCAGGTCTCCACTGCCCGTGGAAAGTATTCTCTCAAGGTGCTGGATGTATTCTAGCATACTGGAACTAAGCTCTGCAGAGAAAGGAGAATCAGAACACAAGGTTGGCTGAAGACCCCACCTTCAAAGAGCTTGTTCATAGGCCAAGTGCGCCCAAATAATTAGTAAATGAATCCATTGGAAAATCTGATAAAAGCTGAAAATAAAAAGTGAGCAAAATGTAGTTACAAAATAGATATCAATGTCTATGGTTTACACCATAGCAGTATACAAGTAGGCTTTAATGGTGTTTCCAAACACTAAGCAATCTGTTTAAGCAGGGACAGAATTAAGGTTACCAAGAATAACAATGGATTACTGTAGAACTAGTATCAGTCTCTACAGCCAAGGTATCCTGTAATCAATTTACAGAAAGGTCCTCCCATCAATGAATTACATCTCTTACTTTCTTCAGTCATAAAACATTCATATTATCACTGATATTCAATTTTATTCCAGTCTATTATAGGAACCACATATTAAGTCAACATTGCCCATCTATCTGTTTCTCTTTCTGTCTCAACTTCAAAAATGCTAGATGATATGGCACTAAGAACATAGATTCCATGTTCTAAAGACATCTGCCCCCATATTCAAGCACCTATATTCTGGGTAGTGGTTCTTTCCAATTTGATAGGCTTTTGCAATGATGGAATGGAATGATTAAATCAGATTCCTTCATATTTGCCCTTCCAATACAGCTCACCTGAATTGCATTCTGTATAAGTGGCCAGAAACATATGAAAAATCTGCCAGGCTATATTCTGTATTTCAGATGGGCTTGCTTGGTTCTCCTGTGCATTTTCATAATATTTTAGCTTCTTCCACAGCAACAGATGATTAATCTTTTGTCGATCCTCAAACCTGGGGGGTAACATGAAAGATACTTCAGCATTAGGTGAACTGTAGGACTTCTGCCAAATAAAAAAAGGGATGTAAAAGCATCATGATTTTTTCAGATTCTCACAATCAAATATCTACCTGTGGATTGTAAATAAAGCACAACAATGAAATATGGGACACTGAAAGCAGCTGAGAAACTCACCGAGTCAAGTAGTGAAGGAAACCATCCCCATCTCCCAGATCGCACATCAATGCCTCAAGAAATCGAATGGTTGTCAGTGTTTCAAAGGAGTCTTTAAGGGAGCCCAACAGTCTGTTTGACCCAGTTCCTTTTCTGTTTTTCCTAAATCATGAAACCAAAACTGAATTTTCAGGATCTTTCTGCTATAGAGGACACAAGATCAGAACTGCATTCATATTTTCCTAAACCATTCTGAGACCTGTTTACGAATAAAGTAGAATTACCAGTCTTGGTTTCATTAAAACCAAAAAGTTTGTTGTCATTCCCCATTCCCCAAACCTTGATCCTTTAGAGCAGGTGTATCCTCCCCTTGGCAACTTTTAAGACTTGTGGACTTCAAGTCCCAGAATTTCCCAGCCAGCACAGGAGTTGAATTCCAAAAGAGTATCATTTCTTTCTTGGTTTATTTCTATACTGATTTTCCTCCTGGAGAAATGGTTAATAATAAAACAGCTATAGGTGAAACCATCATGCCGCTGTCAAAGTTTAGGGAAATATAAATTTTCTTGACAGCTGCCACAGCATTGTAAAAGAAATTTAAACAGTGTTTATATAGCTTCCGCTGCTTTCTACCAACAATTGGTGAGGACAGAGCAAGCTTTTCATTTGTCAGTTACTGAATGCTGAAGTTTTTCTGCCAAGAATTTGACCATTGTGATATTATTTTCATTTGCATTGAATATTATTATTTATTCATTACATTTACTTTCCAAATTTGTACAAAGCAGCATAAATAGCACTTCCTCCCTCTGGGTTTTGGGATTGTTCTTTTACAAAGCATCAACCTTGTGAGGTAGGCTTCAATAAGAAATAATGATCAGCACAAAATTAGCCAGTGAACTTTCTCAGGGAAGGATGCTTAAGGATAAACTGCATCATATTACAACAAAGGCTTTGTAATGTGTACCCGCCCACACAAAATCATTTTAATAAACACACAAATGTAGATATTACAGATCCTGAGTAAATAAGGGCAATTAGTTGACTATTTATTTTAATTATAAATAAATTAGTTGATTAAGCTTCAAGGGGAAGAAAGCCATAAGGATTTATGATTACAATAGAATAAACATTAGTATCAAAAATAAAATGGACTAGCACTTCTGTTTTATGGACAGGTACTCACATCATTCTCCAGTCTTTGTTTCTTTTCATATAGTTCACCATGTCCTTTTGATCACCCATAGAAGGAAGCACTGTGGCCATATGCAAAGAAAATGGGAAACGGCCACTCCAGAAAAGTTCTTCTTCAATAGGCACCTCTGAACTGGGTTCAGACCTATAAAAGTATTACATTAAACTGACAAGGTATTTTAGATTAAATCAATATTTGCAGTTTTGGTTGAATGAAGAAAATTGAGTGGGGTGGTGGGTCTTTACTAAACTCCACCACAGAGTAAACAAGAACAAAACATGGGTCTAATTGTGTATTATATAGTCAACGCTTTAAGGCAGTGGTGGCGAACCTATGGCACGGGTGCCAGAGGCGGCACTCAGAGCCCTCTCTGTGGGCATGCGTGTCGTCACCCCAATCCTAGGCCTTCTGCTGGGTTTTATAAAACCTTTTCGCTTTAGGCCTCCGCCACCATGTGCACAAAAAAAAAAAAGATTCAATCAGTCAATTTCAACTTCTTGAAAAGTTGATTGGAATTGATTGATTGAACTTTTTAGTCCCACTCAGTCGGCCGTTACCACTGCAGCCATGCCCACCCAATTGGCCACACCCACCCAGCACTCGACGATGCATAAGTGTTTTCGGTTGCAGTTTGGGCACTCAGTCTCTAAAAGGTTCGCATCACTGCTTTAAGGCCATTTTAAAAATGTTCTATTTAGAACATAAGAATATTTTTATCTATCCCTATTGTCCAATTCAAAAGCACAGTGATCCCTCCTAGCACAAACCTTAACTGCCTGATTCTCTGATAGTGAATTAGAAATCGGGGAACCCAGTAAGAACGCAATCGTCTTAAGGCATCATATTGTTTCCTGCTCAAGGAAGCAAAAGGCGTCTCCTCTTCCCCTTTATTTTCCTCTAGCTGCTCCTAGAGACAGAGAAAACATATAGTATGCATACAATAGAAACTAAGGTCCACTTTACACATACATATATATGTATTGATGGTCATGATTGCTGCCACTTCTGAAATTACTTGAGTAAATAAAGTATTCTGCACATATGACTTTGTAAAAGAAGAATCCAGAACAGCCTGGATGGACCCTCAGCTATTTAAAAAGTGAGGCTAATCTACTACGGTATTATATCATGGGATTAATATTATATGTCATATAATCTTTATATAAAAATGATAATACCTACACATTTTAACGATCCTCCAAACACTGTATTAAATTGATTCCCAATATCTATTAGTAATCCTTTAAGTAAATGTCAAAGGTCTCTACTATAAAGTAAAAATCAAGTCCTCTGATAGCCATATAGTAAAGGTGGAAGACATTCCCAAGAAATAGAAGGATTCCATGACTATTCTGATTCATGAAGAAACTCTCCCAGGACAGAACCTACAATTCAGTTATGCAAGGCATTTCTGCACAAAAAGGCTACCGGAGGTAAAGAACAAACCCCTGAACTGCTGCTTTCTTAGCTGGCTTAGCTAGGTTTCTGATTACTTAAGCTATAACGTGGACAAAGGGATTTGCATTCCAGCTGTATTACTCACTTGAAAAGCAGGAGGGATGGCCAGCCTATACTTGGCTTGAATATCCCTGCCAAAAGAAGAGCAGCAGTATAAACCACACTTGCGTTGGAATATTTCTCTGCTTGCTACTGTATAAAGATACATATTTTATTTTTTTTAAAAGAGGACAAGCAGTATTTCATACATGATACTAGCACTGCACATAACATTCTGATCACATAGCATAGTTTATAAGATTATTCCCTCTACTCTTAAACGAAGGTAAGAATTTGACACAACCTCACACCCCACAAGATCTGCAGTTCGTGAAGATCAGTTAGTGCACCTCACCCGCCACCATTTCCTCCAAATTATTTGTTCCGATATTTCAGGCTTCTCAAATATCCCAAGAAATAAAAAACAAGCTGGATGTTTTGTATTTTACAGCATACCCAGATGCAGTATATCACCCTGGTATTAAAAAAAAAAATGTGAGCCCATATTGTGCAGATTGTGGCTGACCTCTTCTTAGAAGCTCAGACCAATAGAAACTGAGATAAGGAATAGTATTTCTTCTCTTTGTGCTTTCTCACTGTTTCACATGGAAATAGCAGACAAATAAGCAGTAACAACCAGGAGCTGCAGCAAGGCCAGAATGGAGTAATGGAGGAGGCATTAATAGATAACTCATTAATACCAACTCACAATGCTGGTCTCTGTGGAGAAACTAGAGTTTATAAAAACCCATGTTTCTTGGTTTTAGTCAATTAGTTTAAATCATGATAAAAGTAATCCCTGAGTACTGAGAAAGATATTCAAGATCACATTGCTGAGCTTCCAAATGGTCTGCTATTTACTTCTCATAATTAAGAAAAACAGATAAAACTATGCAAGCAGGTTTTTTTTTTCTTTCTCTCAAATTTTAATGGAATATAGTTTTGTTTTTAGGTCTATACCAGTGATGGCGAATCTTTTAGAGACCGAGTGCCCAAAAACTGGCCCCGCCCCCACTCCACCCCCTGCCCCGCCCCTGCTCTGCCCCATCCCCCGCCCCACCTGCCCGCAGGGCCACTCACTGCCTCCAGGGCCCGCCGCAGATCGCCCAGGCAGCCTAGCAGCGCTATGGCGGTCACGCCCTCTGCCCGCACCCTGCAGCATCAACTGTGCACGATGGGGTGTGAGGGCAGAGTCTTGTCTACGCTGCCTGGCTGCCATGTCATTGGCTGCGCTGCTCCGTGTGGGACATGCTCAGGGGCGACTCTCCTTCAGGGGAGCTGCTGGAGAGGAGCGGGTCACGGGGAGGCGAGGCTGGGGCAACGGCACGTGTGCCCACAGAGAGGGCTCCGAGTGCCGCCTCTGGCACCCATGCCATAGGTTCGCCACCACTGGTCTATACCATCAGTTGGCAAAAAGTGACTACAAGCCCAGTCTTGACAGTGCATGGTGTTTGCAAAACTCAGGTTAGAATTTAAATGATAAAATTTTAAAACAGCAATCTTCTTAGACTTGCTCAATCTTTATTTAGATTAAAATCCTGCAAGACCTCACAACAAGAATTGGCTTTTATTTGCAAGAATTGGCTTTTGTTTAAGAAAACTCATTGGTGTGCCTACCTAAAAAGTTTGCCTTCCTACTATCAACTACTATCTACTACATACCTAATTTCATACCTACTATCAGCTCCCTACTCTGGGACTCTGGCTTGGCAGCTCCAAGCTGGGCTGAGGAACAGAGGAAGCTTGCCTGCTGCAAATCAAAATGCAAATAGAAAATGAAGGCAAAAGACAGCCTCAAAATACTCTTCTGCCTTCACAGAGATTAGCAAAGAATTTTATGAAGGTGAGTAGCCTGATTTACTGCAATGGAGGTCGCATAGCCAAAATATAATTCAGGCAGGCATGTGTGTGATTAAATTTTAAACTGCAATATTGCAAGGCAATCAATTAAGTGGTTGAGCCTTTTGAATGGGAAGACAAAGAAAAAAAGAAATCTGGCACTGGGAAATGGAGAGAAATATGGCACTGAAGAAGGAAGGAAGGAAGGAAGATCACAAAGGCAGGAAGAAGGAAGATCACAAAACAGAAACACACTCTTGAGGTCTTCATCTCACATTCCAGCAGAGGGACCCAGTTTGCTACCTCTCCCCAAATCTTTTGGTACCATTACAAGACACCCCTTCCCAAACTACCAGCAAGTTGAAGTTTCCAAGTGAGAGAAATCACAGAATTCAAGAGGATGAATCACATTAACAGTAATGTATTGAATTGTGAATGGTGAATTTTAAAAACATGTCTAGTGTAGTGAAAAGAAGAACTAGGGGTAAGCAGTGTTCCAATATTTGAGGGGCTGCCACAGAGAAAAGGGAGCTGACCTGTTTTCCAAAGCAACTGAGAGCAGGACAAGTAATAAGGATGGAGACTAATCAAGGAGAGAAGCAACCTAGAACTAAGGGGAAACTTTCTAACAGTGAGAACAATTACCCAGTGGAACAATTTGCCTTCGGAAGTTGTGGGTCCTTCATCACTGGAGGTTTTTAAGAAAAGACTTATCTGAAATGGTATAAGGTCTCCTGCTTGAGCAGGGGGTTGGACTAGAAGACCTCCAAGGTCCCTTCCAACTCTGTTATTCTGTATTCTGTCAATGCTGCCACGAAGGGAATTTGCTTCCTACTAAGCTGTTTATTTCATTTTATTATGCTTTAAAATATTACAATTACAATTAACATTTTTAAAATGTTATTAATATATATTAGATATAAACTATAGTTATAACTATATTGTTATTATAACTCCACAAGCTTTAATTAGCTGAGCTGAAAAACTACAGGTATGGTCCATGGCACCTTCACTCTTGCTCTACAGCCAGGGGTCCTCAACCTTGGCAGCTTTAAGACTTGTGGACTTCAAATACCAGAATTCCTCAGCCAGCTTTGCTGGCTGAGGAATTCTGGGAGTTGAAGTCCACAAGTCTTAAAGTTGCCAAGATTGAGGACCCTGCTCTACACCAACATTCCATCAGCAGCTTTGGAAGCAATTCAAACGATTTAAATACTCCCCTCATCACCCCATTATTTCCGATCAGATAAAACATGTCTAAAGTTAATGAGGTTTTTAATTCACTTTTTCAGATCACATAACACTACCACTCCAAGCCAGGACCCAGTAATAAATCTCAGACCCTTAACTAGGCACAGCTTAGTTAGGAAACTAGGCTCAGACTCAGCTAAAGTCTCCCAAGCATGAGAGACATTGCAACTGAATAAGAATCTTTATTGCAGCTAGAATGGAACTGTTAAACTACTGGTTTCCTTCTGTCAACAGAGGGTATAATTCTCTCTTCTATCCATGGCAGTTTAAGGCTATTGCTACTTTTCATCACCTTCTCACATTTCAAAGGAATCTTTACCCTACATTTCATGGCCTTGAATGGTTATCGATTTTTGACATAACTGACATTTCTGCTGCCACTGATAGATCTTTCCTTATGTCCATGATTAGCATTACCCATCACTATTAGTTTGAGAAATACACTAGAATGGCATTCTCACCGAAAGGCACTGGAAAAGAACAGATGTGTTTCCTGTGGTGAAACTGTGGCCTCCAAGTGCCTGGTGAAATCCATGACATCTTCACAATCAATCCAGAAGTTTAACAGGTGACTTCCTAACGTATTATGGAGGAATTCCATAAAGTCCTCCATGCCAGCTCTCTGCAATGTAAAAAAGAGAGGAAGGAAAAGAACGATGTGATTGGAGGCACCCGAAGAAGGACATCTCAGCCACAGCTATTGTACATATCCGAAGATAGGCAGAATAGCTTAAACATGTTACCTTTATTTTTTATTTTTTTAATTGATTTGTTTTTATAAATAACTCAAGGCAGCAAAAATATATAATACTCCTTTCTCCTCCTCCTATTTTCCAACTTCATGAGGTGGATTGGACCAAGAATGCTTTAAGGACTGAGTGTTAAAGATGTGCTCACATGGATAGATCAACTTTCAAGGTCTAGGAGACTGGAGTTAACCTGGAGCAATTGCCTGTTATTGGGAAAGATGTGTACCATAATAAAGCATTGTGTACAATATATCTGGTCCTTGAAAAGTAAATAATTCTCAAAGGCACAGAAGGCATTTAAAGTAAATGTCTGTTTAGTTAAGTGTTTCAGCAGGATGCAATGATACCCACAGTTCCTAGGACGTCTTCTTTAAGTTGCTGCAAAGCAGCACTTCCAGAACCAGAAGGAAAACACTTGTCCTGTTGCTCTTCCTTTGAAATATTTGTTTCTGCCAGGTCAAATTGCAAAACCTGCCGGCGTCCTGAGAATGGCTTCTCATAATTACTGGAGGAAAATATGAATCAGGAAGTCAAAAATACATAACTGACAGGGATAACTTTTTTTTTTTTTTGCAGATTATAACTGTGACATATCACTGTTTCTAATGGACCAGCAGCATGATGTCATGATTCAACCCTGACATGATGGAGTGACTATGGTTCCCCCCACCCCACCCCAGACCAGGTGATTTTTTTTTTATCTTTGACTCTGGAAAAGGTGGCACTTCCCTGCACTGAGCTGGTGCACAATTTGGGTGTGCTCCTGGATTCACAGCTCCTGCTCCAGGAGCAGGTAGCAGCTGTGGCTAGGGGGTCCTTTGCTCAGATTCATCTGGTGCACCAGTTGTGCCCTTTGCTGGATTGGGAGTCCCTGCTCACAGTCACTCAAGCCTGGGTCATCTCCCGGTTGGATTACTGCAACATGCTCTACCTGGGGCTGCCCTTGAAGACTACCTGGAAACTCTAACTGTTCCAGAATGTGACAGTGCACACAGTAATGGGGACAACTCATATAATACCTCTGTTACATGAGCTGCACGGACTTCCAGTTTCTTTCCAGGGATAGTTCATGGTACTGGTCATCATTTTAGAAAGCTCTGGTTCCCTCTTCCAAATATTTTCATCTAAGGAGAGCTAGGAAGTGTGCCTTGTCCATGGCAGCCCCTGCCCTATGGAACATCTTGCCCCCTGAAGTTCAGCACTCCCCCACTCTTTTAACCTTCCATTAAGCCTTATAGACTTAGCTCTTCCCCCAAGAGTTGGTGGATTAGATAATGATATGTTTGCATGGATTGGTGCCAGGTTTTCGTTTTTATTGTTTTTTAATGTTTAATGTTTTAATTGTGTTTTATGGTTTTTTAAAATGAATTTATTGGAGCCTTCCAGTATTGTCGCAAAGATCGGTGGCTATATGTTTTCCAAGAGAGATGGGTGGTTAATAAATATGAAAAATAGATAATAGATAGATAGACAGATAGACTGACTGACAGACAGACAGATGATAGACAGATAAAACAGAAATAATTTCCCATAAAACAGAAAATTGATGCTTTTTTTCAGATTGTGTATTTAGCCTGAGAATATTTTACACTATATTCTCAATGGAATATAATCTAGAACTATGTTACTGATGCTGAAAAAGGCTGAATATTATCTGCCATGAAAGTAAAGTCACCAATTACATAGATGGTGAGAGCATATTGGTGAAGTCAAATAAATGTAAGCCAAATATAAAAATAAACCAGCAGTTTGTTATTTCTAGTTGCATACAAAATCAACATTCTTAAAATCATTTAGCAGTCTTAAGAAAGATGAGTTGTAGCACCATTTATCATGGCCACATCACAGGTATTACATTTTTAAGTAGCAATCATACGAAAATATAAGTATCTTATCACGGCATTCTTAGCAATCAGACTCACCTATTGTTATTAAACTCAATGACCTCTTGATCAGATTCAGTTCTGCTCAGATGAACTGAAGATATCACTTTTTCACTAGCATTTGTCCAACTACTTCCTACAATACAGATGCATATTAGAACCAAGATCAAACATCTGATCTATATAAAAGGAAAACGATACTCCAGTTCTTTACAAAGAGGTAGAAGATCAGCCTGAGTTCTATAAAATTGAAAATAACTTTGCAGACTTGGGGAGTTTTGTTGTTAAGTGATTCATTAGCTGTCCCACAAAGCTATGCTTATGTGTTTGGAAGCATGTGTACATATAATGCCCTTTATGATGCAACGAACACCACAGCAATAAGAAATAGTAAGACAAACAAATTAAAGGTATGGGATTAGAAAAACAAAGCTAAAACTAATTTACTGCAATCCAATTCACTAAATCTCTCTCCCTACCTTTCTATACTTCCAATCTCTTCCTTTATTCTATTAAGTCCAAATCATACATTGTCTTTGTTCTTTAAATCTCACCTCTCTCTTTTGGAGGATTTAATCAACTCCCTCCAACCACGACATTCTTGATCTTCTTTCTTTAGACTCATTAACTTCTTCCTGGATTTATTTTGGTATTTGATCTTAATTCATTCTATTTGACCAAACCTTCTTAATATATTTCTTTCATATGATCATTTACTATTGTACTGTACAATAGTTTGAAACACTGCTGATACCTCAGTGTTTCTCAGGAAAAGACATTGAGGTATCAGCAGTACCTCATAATACAAATCCTATCATAATACAAATCCTATTGTCCTTAGAACTTACGGTACCATTACTGTATTCTGGGAGCACTTAATTCTGGACTTTAATAAAATGAGAAGAAACTTGCTGAATCAGGCTAGAGGGTTATTTAGATCTGTATTCTTTTCTCTAAATGGGAAGCCCGTACACTGGCTGTGAACACGATAGCATCTGGCTGCCCACTTTCCATAGCAACACGGTCTCTGTTTTAAGAAGAGCCTCCAATATTTTCAGAGTTGCTATAGCATTCTCACCATTTCTCCTTTCTATACCAGTGTCTGGTCTGAGCCTTGAGAGCTGGAGTCTGCTTGGGTATTCTTCAAATTGGGATTGGCCAAAGCTCAAAATATCAGAGAGCTCCAGGAAAACATCAAGGGACATTTGGTCAGATGATTTTGCAAAATGGCCTGCAGAAAAGGATAAAGGAACAGAGTCTCCAAAGATGTTTTAAGAGTAAACTATTGGATAACCTCCTATATAAATCAGAAAGGAATGTAATAACTTAATGAGATGGTAGAAAGGTTAGACCTTGCAGCTTTCCATGTCCTCCCAAAATCTGTTTTGGAATGTCCTACAATCACTTAGAATAGATCATATTTTGCATTGTAGTAGTAGTAAACTTTGCTTACTTAATAGATTCCCATTATGTTTTAGCAAAATATCTTGAACTAGCTGAAGTGTAACATTTAGTTTTTAGCTTTTAATTAGAAACAATCCATTTTGCAAGCCATCGTCCAACTCTTCAACTAGCATGGACAATCAACAATAAACTAAATGACTCCCAGCCTCTACTGCATCATTTTCTCCATTTTCCAGTTTTCTTCAGGATTTGAGCTAATCTACTACAAACAATAATAAAGTTGAAATCACATTATCTCTCCATTGGCTTCCTAGAGCAAAGAATATCAGTTAACTTGGTATTCTGACGCATGATATATTTACTCCTGCTCCGAAAAAGGCCTTCCTTGTCTTCTCTAAGCTTAAAACTATATGCAATGAAAAATAACAGACCATGTAAAAAAGATGTAGACAGAGACTAATCCTCAGAGCAATCTGCAATGCAATGCAGATTATCAGCATAAAGTGTTGCCTGTGCACAATATAACAAAAGTTACACTTCTGGTCCCATGGCTGCTTCTTGTCTTGCAGCTGCTTATCATATCTGTTCCAAAAGAGAATTGAGTATGGATTCTTTATGGTCAATAATAACAAGACCCATCATATATACTGCAGTATATGAGTAAAGCTCCCTTTAAGTCAGCTTGTGTGCTGGTGACTACAATGACACATCCATTTTATTTCCTCAACAACATATGGCAATGTATAATCCATGTCTTCAAGGTTTTTTTTCAGTTTCCCAGTCTAGATTACAAGAGTGGAATTTCTTGATACTCTCCTATTCAAGTACTAACCAGGACTGACCCTGCATATCTCTTTCAAGGTCAGCTTGGTGCTGTCACCTGTAGAGACCTGTAATGCATTATGCACAGCTATTATCAGAGGTAAGAATGCAATCTCATTCGATTCAAAATCACGGGTGTATTCATATTAGAACAAGTTAATATTTATTAATGAACCAGGTATCAGTATATTAAGAACAATAAATTTTAATTTGTGCACAGTGACCTAGCAGTTAAGACACTGGACTTATCGAGCAGAAAGTTTGCAGGTCAAGACCCAAGTATCATGTGACGGGGTTACTTGCCCCAGCTTCTGCCTATCTAGCAGTTCAAAAGCAAGCAAATACAAGTAGATAAATAGGTACCACTTCAGTAGGAAGATAATAGCATTCTGTGCATCTTGGTGTGTGTGTATGTGTGTATATAGTATACTTTTTAATTAGTACATAATGCCATAATCATCATTGTGTCTGTGAATGGACATGTATGAAAGGTGGAGTATGAGAGAGCTGAATTCTCTCAAGTCAGGTCAAAAATGCTTGCTCAGGAAGACCTTTGTGTATGCAGCATATGGAAAAGTAACACTATAAAGAATTCAAAGTCACAGGTTATAGTTTCCCAAAAAATTGATCTTCCCATATGAAGTGAATGAAGCAATGACACTGAAGTACTAAAAAGTACCAAGGTCTGACCAGCAAAAAAAAGGGCCAAGGTAGGATCAGTGAGATTTTGATGTTGGTCATATCTTTTTTGGAGAGCATAAATGTGGCTGGGAACTGGCCCCCTTTACACAGAATAAAGCATTTCATGTGGACATTTTCCCACCTTTCTTTTGGAATTCAAACACAGCATGGTCATCTAGGCTTCCAGTTAGGAAAATATGTATGGTTAGATAAATATGAGAGAGTGTGGCTTTTAGAAAATCAGAAAATGAATAAAAGGCTAAACTTTAATTTGATTTTATATGCCTGAAAACACTAAGTCCTGAGTGTGGCAATCAGGCTTCTTTAGCCAAAGACTATCCATAGTGCTTTGCATATGAAGAAATTAGGAAGTAATTTAGATAGGTTGGTGAGATCCTCTTTAGATGTTGTAGGGTTAGTTTACAGGTTGACTTACCTAGATAGGCTGGGGTGCTACGTGTTTGACTAGGACATCTGATCAAAACATCCCTGCGCACACCAGGTGATGCCCGATTTGTTGATGGAAAACTGGGGATGCTGGAAACAGCAGTACTATCAGACTGACGACTGTAACCACGAATGGCATAGCGCTCCACTGGATAGTTCTCATCCAGCGGACATACTAGCAGTTTTGCTAATTTGTATTCCAAATAATAGACAGTCCTAATAAGAGATAGGCAGTAAAGAAAGTTTCAAACAGAGAGCAATTCAAAGCAAAGAGTCTGGGTCCTAAGGCATCCTTCTAAGTCTTCTTTTTCAAAATTCAAATGCATTTTAGGTAGTCCTCAGAATATCTATTCATTTTCAGCTGCAGTCCCTGCCTTTCCATCCCAGATGCTTCAGAGGAAGTTGTGATTACTTATGTTCAGATAGCATAAATAATTATTATAACGAAGATTTGAGTTGCAATGTCCAATACTTTTCTGAAGCCAACAATGCTGCCCATTAAGTGAGTGTTCAGTTTCAACACTATAGTCATTTTTATTGTTCAAGCTCTGAATAAGCCATGGCTAAATAAATAGCTGCTATTGTTGTTTTCCTGGGAAGCAACTGATCCGTAAAATAAGTAGATTACCTACCTACCAGATAGCATTTAACAATCTTAAGGTTTCTTATTCACTCCATTTTTGTTGTATGCAAACACTTACACAAAGGATACTTCAACTAATCCACAAATACTCCGAGACTTAAGAATTCAGTGGAAAGTCAGTAACAGAGACTCTGACCCAGAAGGCTAAGACATGCGTAAAGATCTAGTACTTAACCTTTGAAATGGGAGAAAGCGCTCCTGAGCTAACCAGCTTAGGGCCCTTTCTCTCTCTGCATCAGTTGCTCCATAGCATGAAGAACTTGGTTTCTCTGCCAAATGCCTGGGGGATTCCAAGAGGAAGCCATCTAGCTCCTGCAGCCTTCCTGTAAGTTGGTTATACTGCAGTCTAAGAGGAAAAACCTACGTAAAACACAGTTAAAAAAATTAGTTTGAAAGGCACATTTCAGCTACAAAGATAGATGGGAAAAAAGTATTCTGCTATCTGTGCATTGTACTACTAAGACAAGTACAAATGAGAACATAGTCACAGCTGTTTTTCAAGCAATAAAATAGGTCATTCAATGGAAGAATCAATCTGATTTTCACAGTAGTGCTACATTATTTATTTATTTATTTAAGACATTTATATAGACGCCCATCTTATATCGAACTCTAGGTGACTCCCAATCAAGAGAACTTTAATGATAGCCTCATTTCTAGTCTAGCCAATATTACTCTCAGTCACCTCTGATAGGCGGCAAATAAATTTAATTATGATTTTTTTAAAAAAAAAATATTTATCTATTCCAGCAATTCACAGCAATCAGTGCCCTTATTAAGCCCAACTCATTTTTCACAAAATAGGTAGAGAGAGAGAGAGAGAGAGAGAGAAAAGGTGTTGATGTTGCCACCACTCTTCTAACATTATGCCTACACTATTAAATAAGGGTTTTCCTTGAAAGGTGAACAGTCTCAGAATGAATATTATTCCCAAATTAATTTACAGCTTGAGAGGAATTCCACTTTATATATCTGGAAAATGTTATTTATTTTTTCAGAAAATAAATTATTTTGTTTCAAAAATTTCTCTGTTCTTTGATTCTGAGAAAAATGCAATTAATAAGGGAGAATTTGATTTTCCCAATTAGAAGCTGTGTCATCAAGCTTACTTACTATCAAGTATTAAATACTAGCAGCCAACCATTAGTGTTAATTTTCCAATTTGGGCAACTTTGAAATATACATACATTATATAGCAACTTTTGGTTGGATAGACAGTATTAGGATTTACATTTACTAAAGTTGTAGTACCTCTGGAATCAATTACATCAGTTAGAAAATTATGGAATGAAAAATCTAAAAAAAGATTTTCCCATGCTAAATTGACTTTATAGGGAAATCCAAGTTTAAAAATTGGGAAGAAGGATAATATGGAAAATTAGATGTAAGTGGGTGTATTGACTTTGGACCAACTAATAGATGAAAAAAAAACGAATTTTAAACATGCTCTGTGTTAAAAGTTAATATCATTCTATCAGATATAATCCAATGGCAATATTTACAGTCATAACATTGCTTGGACCAACAGCATTTTCAACTTCTGAGACATCTGAGATACTAGAAAAACTTGTAAAATTCTCTAAAACAAAAAACTCTACTATTAATTTTTTATAGATATATGTTATCAATAAATCAATTTAATATGCAGATACTAAGAAACACCCTATGGTAAGATGGCTGGCCAATAAATTTTATAAATAATAAAAATAAATAAATAAAATAATAAAATAAAAATAAAGAATAAAAAATACAATAAATAAAAATATAAAATAAAATAAAGTATAAAATAAATGGAAGAATTAGAAGTTCCCATATTGCCTAGACTATGGAACTTCTATAGAAACAATACCAGTGGGTTTTAAATTATGATTTATACAACAAAAAATATTTATAATGTATAGAAATGGACTGTCAAAAACAGCACTTTGTTAAAGATATAATGAGGATAATGCTTCCTTAAAACACTTGTTTTACAATTCTTACACTTACTAAGTTTTGCAAGAAAGTACAATAAATATAATTGTACAACAAAAGTTAAAATTTTCAGTAATAATATATCTTTGAACTACATACCTAGCATTTGGAATTTGACATCTGGACAACATAAATGGATTCTCTGTGCCATTATGACCAAAACAAACAAACAATATTGCAGCATTGGAAAAATAAATGTATTGCCCTGTTTACTCAATGAAGACCTGATACTACTGGGAGGTACAGAATTGTAAAACCTGCTAAAATGACATATACTTTTTATCTTTTGTTATATTTTTAAACTTTGTTTTAAAGCACCTTCTATGTGTCATTTTTTTTCTTTCTCAATGTATCTATTCTTGTCATTGTATTTTTTTGGGGGGGCATTATTTAAAAAATAAAAGAATAGATTGATATATTTTCCCTTTTTCTTTATTTCTATTATATAACACAGAACCCAACCATAGAGATTTGCTCACTATTAGATGATATTCTGATTAGTTCTAATAAAGATATTTCCTACCTGTGGACTTTTCTTATGGTTTAAAACAGTGGTTCTCAACCTGTGGGTCGGGACCCCATTTGGGGTCGAACGACCATTTCACGGGGGTCGCCAAACAACGCAGTCCGCCATTTTTTCCCCCTTTTCCTTAGCTGTGCTACTCCCTTTTATTCTATTGGCTTTTGAAAGCCAATAGAATAGACTCTCTTGAATAGAGTCTAATTCTATTGGCTTTCAAAAGCCAATAGGAATTGTCCAGGCTGTCTCTGCCCTGCTGAGCCCGCCAAAAGTCCCATTCTGCAAACGGTGCTGCACCAGTTGAGTAGTCCTCGACTTACGACCGGTTGAGTAGTCCTCGACTTACGACCGGTTCGGGGTCGCGGCATTAAAAAGGTTGAGAACCACTGGTCTAAAAGAAGTAAGAAGATCAAACTCCTTAGCTCAGGTACATCCTTCTGACCAAAAACATTCTAAGCCCAGACAGCAGTGAATTATACTCACAGGAAGAGCCAGGAAAGCATTAAAAAAATCCAGAAAGATGTCATCATAAGTCAACAGTTCTTCCAGAAGCTCATATCCTAAAATAATCAAACAAATCGAAGTCATATGAACAGAAATTTTAAGTTTACAGACTGCAAGGATTCCCGTGACTTTGCAAGTATTATTGATGTCCATAAAAAATATCTCATCTGAAAGATTGTAGAGATGATTTAATCAAAGCCGGCTCTAAGCCAATGTTCAGGGCACTTTAACGTAAACATTAAGCATTCTCTAATATAAAATTGCAGAAATAAATTATGTATTTATCAGTTTTAAATGGCAAAAACTACTTGGAAGGATTTATGCTTGTTTGTAGGATCCATCTATCCAAAATCAACTTAACCCTATGTTACAATTAATTTAACCCAATTATTTCGGTTCACACAACACTCTTGAGGCATAAACTAACCACATAAATTGACTACTACAGTAGTTTAAAATATAGTTGCTAAGTATGTGTGGTCTGTTTTGAAAATTAGGAAGTTTGCAGGCATTATGTAGAATAAATAACCTCTTTGCTTCCTTTTGGGGCCAACTAGAACAACGGAGCGGAAGAATCTGGACATGAGGATTTTGTTCCACCTCTACCACGCGCATAAAGGTGGCGACTGTGTGTGGTTAAAATTACATTTTAGGTGCATTACACGTCTTTCCAATATTTTTTAGAGCTTCTAATATCTGTTAAGAAGTTTTAAGAGAGTAACTTCAAAAAAAGAGAAACTTTTTTTAAATAGAGATAAACATCTTGAATACTGCCATGAGGAAAGTGAGAATAATAGAGCAGCCCCTCGGTCTCACTAAGCAAAAGAAAAAAAAGGGGGGGGGGAATCCAGTAAATAGTAACAAGCGCTGCAGCACTGCATGGGGAAAGCGAGTGGATGATTCCTCTCTATAGCAACAGAACTATTCGCTTTCAAATAGCAGAGCGGATTTGGCCGGGCGTACAGCGTCTCTTTGGTGCCTTCCTTCGTCCGAGGTTATGCACTGAATTTCGTGCCTGGGCCAAGATTCAAAAAGAAAACTTTTCCCGCGTCTAACCAGCTGACTGCGCTGCTTCACTTTAACACACACTAGGAGACGGCTCAATTCCTCCCATTTGCCTGTATTCGACCTTTGGTCTGCAGGGCGTTGAGGGGTTAAACCGAGCGAGCGAGAGAGAGAGAGAGAGAGAGAATCTGGCTAGAAAGTTGGGGAGACTTTTTCGGCTTCGGCTTTCTTTCCATTCCTTCCCCGCGCCAAGTCGAGAATCAGTCCCGCGCTCCGTCTCCCGCCTCAGCGAAGGTCGGCTTCCAGACGGCCGCGCGACGACTCCGGTTGAGGGTGAACCCCGCCTGCGCGCCTTGGTACTCAAGAGCCCGCAGGTGAGGGGAGGGCAGAAAGACCCCGGATGAAGACGCTGCAGAGCCTCCGAGAACGCAGCGGAGAGAAAGGAGTTTGCTGTTGCCTTGCGATGCAAAGGAGGGGGGGGTGTCTTCATAGCAAACTGGGGTTTCCCCCCTCCCTCCGCGAAAAGGGGAGTTCGCCACGGAACCATTTCCCGGGATCTAGAAAAGAACGCTTTTCTTTTTGATTTTCCTAGTTTTCTTCGAAGTGAAACACACACGCAAACACACCGCCAGAACCCATTTCGAGTGCTTATATATTTACAAACCAAAGCCCCTTTCACAAGCAATTTCTTTTGCATAAGAAGAGTGCTGGAATTATAGAAGGGTCTGCTCCGCTTTAATGGTGCAGTTTTCTATTTCCTTGTTTAAGAAATTATTGAGAGAAATACCCGATTTCCTGCCCATCCAGGGGACAAATGTAACGTCAGAGGGAGTCCAACTCAGAAAGGGTCAAAAAAGAAAACCTGAATCTTTGTTTGTTAGACAGAAAGAACTGTGATGGGAGAAAGAACTGGAACATGCAAATTACCAAGAGTTCACATTTGGAGTTAAATAATAAATAAGGGAAGTTCAAGACAGACATGACAACTTAGTTTGGTGTGTTGTGTGAATCATGCTCCTGTGTTTAGTTTATAATTCAGTAGCCAAGCAGGATGCACAAACACAACCAATGTAAGAACAAAATAATAGAGAGAGACTTCAGCTGTAATGCCATGAAGCCTGGAGTGTGCATTTGACACTGTATCTGTGATTATTTGCTGTTGGTAAATGGTCATTCAAAAAGTCAACTAAGTCATCTGTACTGTGGGAACCTGGCTGAAAAGTTCAGGAGGAAATAAAATAATTGTAGTTTTAAAAAATATGCATGTCCTCCTCTTCTTTCAATCAAAGGGGTCTTCTGCACAGCAACCTTAAGCTATTTGTCTCCTGTATTGAAAATGAAATTAACAATTAAATTAATTGCTTTTCTAATTTTTCTCCATTTGACAAAGATGTTCTGTTCAGATGGCAAGTTACTGTGAAACAAGCACCAACCACTTTTCTTTCTATGGTTTCCTTTGGGAGGGTTTTTATATGTGGCCCTCTCTGTTGACTCCCCATCTTACTTGATACTTATCTGTCCAATGCATCCAACATGAAACTGGCGGAAAAGGAAAAAAGGAACAGTTTTATTTTCTTCCTTTGACTTGAGCTACAAAGGCAAACTGATAGGTCTTTTTCAAGTTCACCTGGTTAAAAAAAAAAGAGGTCCAAGTTTCAAGGTCCACTGATGAATTTGTAAATAAAGCACTATTGTCTGGGATGCTACACATCCACTTCATGACCTGTTTTCTTTGTTACCTTCTGGGAGAAGGCTTCGTGGTATCTGAAGCAGAACATCCACATTCAGTCACAGCTTCCCCCCCCCCGTATAGTATTAACCTTGTGAACTCTCAAGCTTTCTCTTTCCACTGTGTATTCAAGATGGACAGTGATTAATATTTATATGTATTTATATGTAAGGGTGCAGGTATATACATGTGTATATAACATGTCTATATGTGTGTTACATACATACACTTTTGAGAGCAGGCAACAGAATTTTATTTTTAATGTGTGCTAGTGTGCCCACAGTAAAAAATGACAATAAAGGTTATTTTATCTAATCTAACAACAAAATATAGGTAGCTTTACATCATCCATCGGTGAGCAACAGATGAAGATTCTGTTCAGAATGGACTGAGGCAAGTTGAAGATAACATCATATACTCTTGTCTTGAGAAATTGTGGGCTGTCCTTGCACTTGAGCAAGCAGGACATGTGAATGAGCCCCCCCAAAACATGCATGTATGAATGGTTGGAGTTCAAGATATGTTAGTATCAGACCACACAGATCAGGTTGCAAATGTACCCTTAAGGACCCATTCCTGTGTTTTCCTCTATAGTAAGAACTGTGGGAGTGATTTCAAGAAGAGTGTAAAGGAGCATGATGAATCACTCAGGTCTACGGAAAAGAGATGCTGTAGTAAAAGCAGACAGCTTTGACAGGAGTGCTCAACTGTAGACAAATTTCACACATTTTAGTAAAAACAATCTGGTTGGTTTAACCTTAATATGAATGATCCTGGACTCTGTAATTTATAAGCCAGAATTTATGGTAGGGATGATATTCCATGGCATTCTTAAATCCTCCCAGTGACTACTGTTAATATTAGACAGGATGTCTTGAACTGATATGGATAGCTTTAATTTTATATGAATTTTGCCAAAACTTATGGATGCAAATAAATGTTTCAATGTAATAAAAATATCCATGTATGTCTGTGTGAGAAAAAGAGTGACAGATCAGTGGAAGCAGGGATTAAGGTAAGGCACATCCCAAAAATAATTGGAAAAGGGGCTTTGGACTTTGCACATTGCCCTTGCTATATATTAAAGCAGTCCAATTTTTTCACAGATGCCAGGCTTATCATATTTATTGTCCAAATATATAATCCCTTTCTGCAAGAGAAAATAAGGAATCACGTAAAGTCATAATTACCACACCAGTACACCCCTTACAACTCTTACAAAGAAAAGCTGAAATAAAAACAAAACTAATAAGTAGAAATCAGTTTTTTTTCAAGACAGTGGCTTCCATAAAATCCCAATCCAAGAAAAAAGTACAAATAAAAGCAAGAGCAAGACCAGGTACACAGTCTAGGGAGAACATTTTACATGGAAAATAAAACAATGCACTTTGGAAATATGACACCGTAGACAAATGTGACACAGGTGTAGAATCTGGAAATGCTTAGAATCTGGAAAATTTCAGTCAAAATATTTACAAAACATCAAAGAACGAAAAAATCATATACACATTCAGACTGAATGGAGGAGATTTTGGGAAGTAAAGGGAAACCTTAAAGAAAAACTCATTCACAGAAGAGAGAATCCATACAAGTAACTGAAATGTGGAAGGATTGTGCAGCAAGAAATGACACAAAAGAGGCCATATAAATGCATAGCGAAATCAGCTTCAGTCAGAGCACAACACTTGCTAGGCATGAAAAGAAGTCAGAGTAAGAGACCATTTGAGCACTCAGAATAGGAAACAGATTGTCGCAGAGCTCAGAATTCATCTGCAGATTTATTCAAGGAAGCCACACTGGATGCTTGCAGCATAGATACAGCTTTAGACGGAACTTGTTTATAAGACGGAGAACTTATACAGGAGAAAAATCATGTAAGTGCTTAAATTATGGCAAGGATTTATGTGTCATAACTGAAGAAAATATGACTGATCCCATGGATCAAAGGAAGTATGTAAAAGTTTAGAATGTGAACAGAATTTGTTTCTATATGAGAGAGTGCTTTGACCATCATGACTTAATGATGGAAATGTCTGTAATTTTGTAATTCAAGGAATACCTTTATTGTTGTCAAGAAAATTGCATGGATGCATCCATAAAGCTTGACTCAGGAACTGAGTTGAATGACAACAATCTAGTAATTACTTTGACAATTGTGTAACTAATATTCAGTGAGACAATAAAATATGGGATTTTGTTATATCTTTTGTTATTCTTGTTTATTCAACCACATCCTTATTTTCATCTAGAAGCAGGCAATCTTTTGATGCCCTGAAAGGCCACATCATTTTTGCGGCAAAAATATCTAAATATACAGGCCAGGTAGATAAGGCCTCATCATGCTTGTGAACCCTATTGGGATTTTCCCTTTTTGTTTTGGTTTGAATTTAGGTGGAAACGTAGGTTATTTTTTGTTTTTAAACGGTGGTCAGGCTATTTTTTGTTATGATTTCCCTCTGATTCCATCTCAAAATGGCCGGATCAACACTTCACCCCCCAACAACCCAAACTTCTGTAGAAGTTTGCAAAAAAAGGGGAGAGAAATGAAGCATACTGTACCAGAAGATGTAGCTGCCAAGTCAGTTGTTTTCCAAAAGCTTTTAAAAGGGAAATAATAATAATAATGACAAATTCGCATTTCAAAAGGCGGCCTTACTAGGAACTGCTTCCATCCTGCAACAATATCTGTAAGACCATCAAACATCCACATCTGCCTATCCCAGGTCCTTGATAAGGACTCGATAGGTAGATAAAAATGCCAAATCCAGTCTGAACATCTGGCTGACTGCGATGATCAATCATAATCATAATAAAAAGTTGGAAGAGACCTTGGAGGTCATCTAGTCCAACCCCCTGCTCAGGCAGTAATCCCTATACATTTCAGACAAATGGCTGTCCAGTCTCTTCTTAAAACATGGCCAACTGCTCAACAGCTATCCACTGCTATTCCCTAGGGTTGCCTTTTTCCCCAAAGGAGCACCCAAAAGATATCTACACCTCTAGCAACAACCAGCTAATCTTGACTAATCTCTGCAAGGCTAAGCAGAGTCAACTAATACTTGAATAATAGACCACCAGGACAACTCAAAGCTATTAGCTAAATTGGAAAGGCAAAAGGAAAGTCACAGAAGGCTGGCAGTATTTTTTTCCCAAGAAAAAACATGAATATGCCCATATAGATACAGGATCTAAGCTCCATTAGAAAATTCTTAAATGTTATACCAAACAGTACTGAAAAGAGAAATTGCAACAGATTCCTTTGGGCTACAGGTCTTGTGTCTTGCATTTTGAAGATCTGTAGGTACATATCCTTGACTCTCAGCATTATTGAGACAAAATTATGCTAACCTGTCCCTGGAGACTTTGCTCTGGAACTTTCTTCTGTTTCATGCATTTCCAGGAGGATGGTATGCACAATTTCTTAACTGTATTTCTTCCTCTCCTGTTTCCTTCCTTCCTTCCTTCTAACAGAAGCTCAGTTTACAGGCTAAGTATATACAGTTGGCCACAACTGAGTCACTGGGTGGGGCAAGCTAAGTTTCTCAATCTCACCTGGCATTTATTTGTCCCCAGGTAGAGAATAAGTTCCTCCTCCTATCAAACAGCAATTGTAAACGAAGTGACAGCTTAATGAATGGCAGAGCTCCACTTACTTTTTGCTTCTAGGTATTGTTTAACAAGTCTACAAAATACTCTTAGGGTACAGTGATTCTAGCCAGATCTACACAGAAAGGTAATCTGCCTTTATTTCAAACAGAGGTCATCAATATTGCTCATGGTAACTAGAGTTTCTAAGTTTGTTGCCTAGAGAATACCTTTATATAAGCTTGTTGGATGTGATGCAGTTCTTTTCACAACAAGAACTATGTTGTTTTCATGACAGATTTTACCTAAAAAGCCTGTTAATAGAGTGTCTTGGCAAACATTTGTAAGGAATTTTTTTATCAGCCATATCAAAGCAGCTTTTCCGAATTATTACTTTCTTGTGGAAAAACTATTAAGCTATTTTTGGAACCATCCCCATATGAGTACAGGATTACAATTTAGGAATTTTGAAATGCATTCTTGGAACCAGTTCCCAGATAACTTTATTCTCATCAGATACTATTTCATTATTCCACAGCTGGGTATACTGCACATACTAACTCAAAAACCAGTCAACCTTCTTTTTTCTTTTTTTGGATTTTGTATTTTAAGTTTGGAAGTAAAATTACAATTTTACTTAAAAAAACTTTGTCCATAAATGGCTGTTCTTCAAGAAAATTTCTCCTACTGCAGACTCCAGTAAAATAACCAGTAAATTTAACTTTTACATTATGAATAGAATAGAATAGAATAGAATAGAATAGAATAGAATAGAATAGAATAGAATAGAATAGAATAGTTGGAAGGTACCTTGGAGGTCTTCTAGTCCAACCTCCTGCTCAGGCAGGAAACCCTATACCATTTCAGACAAATGGTTGTCCAATCTCTTCTTAAAAACTTCCAGTGTTGGAGCATTCACAATTTCTGGAAGCAAGTTGTTATCTGTAGAAGCATAATAATGCTGTTGTGCTGTTTTTATTAGTTTAAAGAAACAGAAAAATATAGTTTCATTATCCTGTTCTTATAAAAGAAGTATTTCACTCCAGAGTTAGATTATCTACATATTTATTAAAAGAAACATCTCCTTGTTCTGTTTTCGGGAAACATATATTGAAACATCACCAGTAGGTGGCATTCTTGAATTCTCAGTGTAAGGTTTTCTCTTACCAAGACTTTTATTAATGTACAATCTTTAAAAGGGCGTTTTTATCCTGAATATTGCAGTTTGATAGGTAATATTGAAGTTTTGGGCACAGTCCACAATGCGTCACTCTATCTGTTACTGAAAACTATGTTTCAATATGACCCAAATGCAAGGAATAGTCCAAAGATTCTAATTGTTAGCTGATTAAAGATTCAGTTTTAAAAATGGCTTTTGACGCCATTTTTTTTAAAGTGTGATGTATCAATTACATTCTTTTTTCCAAGTCCATTTTTTTCTCAAGATTATATTCAGTATATCTCATTACCTTTGTATCCATGGATTATCTGAATATTTTATCCTAAATCAATAATGATTTTAGATTTATTTTCATATACATAAGCATATTTAACCAAAACATATATACTTTTTCTAAGCATATCACCATTCTCATTCATTCTTGAATCTTGAAATGGCTTTATCACTAGGACCATTTAGTACAGCAAAACATGCAAACATCACCAAACTATGAATTTCCTATTTTCATACACACCCACAACAGTCTAAATAAGATGTAACATACATTTTAGCCTTACTCCAGTTTCTGAATGCATTCATCAATTCACAAAATCATATCACCTTTGTTCTAAACTATTACATTCTTTATTTAGTTTTACATACACCCAATATAATTATTTTTTTTCATTTCATTTGTTAATTCATACTATTTACATTGAAACAAATATTCCATGTTTCAGTTTTTCATAATTCCAAAAGAATTTGGTTGTTTCAAGTAAAAATAAATCCAGTTCCAGTAACAGAACTGAACATTTCTTGTGACATTTCTGCCAATCATACTAAAAACAAAACTATTCAAAATAATATTTACCTAAAATACAAAAAAGTTCAAACAGAAAAAGAAATTCTACCAATCCCACATATTTTGATGCTTCCAGAAGGAATTAAATTAATTAAATATGTGCATTCATATTCCTAGGATAAAGTTTCTGAAGAACTTTACCTGGGAAAATAGTTCTAACAATATAATAATAGAAGAGTATAAGACACGTGTATTTGGCTTTAGAAACTAAAGTTGTATTTTAGTCAAGAGGAATAACTTAATGGGTAAAATAAACATAGTTCCCTATTTTCTACCAGATTGTGCAATATGTAACTATTGCATAATTAGATACACTAATTTGCATATTCCAAAGCCCTTCATCTCTTCTAACAATCTGATAATTTACACTTTATGTTCAGTTATGCTTTACACTTTAGTATATTTGTGATACTACCAAATTGTGGGTTTTGTGCTGTGTTAACTATGGTTAACAACCCACAATATATGATATGTGAGTCCCATCAGTGCAATATACATAGTAACTGTATTATGAAGGGTACTACATTTCTCAAGTTCTCTGCTTCAACAAGGTCTGACATTTATTTTACAATAGCAATAGCAATAGCAATAGCAACAACAATAGTACTTTGACTTATATACTGCTCCATAGTATTTTACAGCACTTTCTGGGCAGTTTACAATGTCAGCGTATTGCCCCCAATAATCTGGGTTCTCATTTTATTGAACTTGGAAGGATGAAAAACTGAATCAACCGTTGAGCCAGTCAGGTTCAAATTGCTGGCAGTAGGCAGTATTAGCCTGCAATACTGCATTCTAACCACTGTGCCATCATGGCTCTTATTTAAGTTTTACAATACTTATATATTGCCCAGCTCACATAACCCCAAATGATAAGAATATAGAATATTGCATTTAGCAGATCTACAAATTCTTTGTGAAAAACAAATGTTGGGAACCACCTAAGATCAAAACTTGCCAAGCTATTTTCCCTCTTGTTTTGAAAAGATAAATGTCTTTTGGAGAGGAGATCTTCAAAACTTCTTAATAATTATTTTAGCAATGATTTCATGCAGCTTCACCTAATCGGTTAAAAAGCAAGTTAGGTAAGGTGATGAGAAACTAACTTTAGGAGAATAAACGATTGGGTAATAATTTTATTTGTAACAAAGAATAAAGCCTAGAAGATTCTTCTAGATTCTTTCAGCCTATGTGCCATTCTAAATCTTTCAGCATCAAAATATATCTGAGTTACAGGGTTGGTTATATTTAAGATTACACATATCTCATATACATGGATTATTTCCACCAGGTTTGAAAAATGCTTTCCACTAAATGTGTTGCCTCAATTGCCCATTTCCTTATATTTCAAATGGCCTTTTCTCCCCCCCCTTTTTTTTTTCTCAGCCCGTTCACTTGGGATTCCAACAGCTAACTCATTAACTCAAATATCATTGGGTCTTACCAAAAATGGGGGGGGACTGGGGAGCTCCTTGAACTTTAGAAGAGGCAAGCACTCAGATTCCCTTCCTTGGCTTGAGGATACTTTCTCCCTCACCTTACTTTGTAACCCTTCTCTCTGTCCCTGAGTTTATTTATACACTTCATCAATAATTGAGAGACTGCCTGCATGTGCATCTCTTGATGTGGTCCCTGACATTTCCCCCTCTTAAGATGCTTACTTGGGTTAGCAAAGCGTTTAATTTTCTCCCTTTGACTTGTAAGGAACATTGGAATCAACAGCCTGGAATAAATCAAGAAGTCATCCATAATTGTACTGGAAAGCAACTTATTCTCTGTGGCTCACTGACCCACCTTCCTCTGAACATTGAACAAACAGGTTAAAAGTTCAGCATTGTTTCCAGATCCTTGCTGCAGAAAAATATATTGTTATACTTTATTCCTCTCTGACTTAGCTGAGTACTTCCGATTCTATAAAATGAATCTAATACCAGCATATACCTGGCATGAAATCCATTTTATGGAATAACAGGTAAAGCTTTGAAATGGTTGACTGCAAGAAATGCTCCTGTATTCACTCCTTAGTAGCCATTCACAGGACATTTTCAGAAAACACTTGTAACAAATCTGTCTATCTCTTGATCTACTGGATACCATCTTTCTGCCAAAACACCCAAGGAAGTTTATTGGCCTAAAAGAAGCAACTGTTACAACGAAAGAATTTTCTCATAAACCTCCTCAGAAGCAGAGACATTGTTTCTGATCTTCTGACCATCTTCCATGAGAGCAACAAGCAGCGGCAACAAGGCTCCAGAGAGGTTGAAGCAAATAACAAGCCGGGTGATGATATCATAATAAGAACTTGCTCAGGGGAATGGAAAAGCAGTTCACTGAGCATTATGTGAATGATCAAAACAGCTTTGCAAATCCCTGGAAAAGGAAGGCTGAAGATGAGCTGAGACACTTGCTACCTCTTGTTTGCCTAAGGATTTAAGACTAAGGGGCAAGGGATGGGTGAATAATACTGATTTGCCTCTTTTGGGCTGCCCTCAGTATCTGGGCAGACTTTCTAAAGATTTTGAGTCCTTAACAAAGCACTCCAAGTTGCCTGTCAAGAAAAAAGGAGAAGGAAAGTAGGAACGATCCATAAAGCAAATATGCAGAATGTAGAAATATTAGATTTAAGTTCCTATAATCGGGTCAGGTGGGTATCATATGAGTCAAAGAACATTCAATTTGAGGGCATTAGATGGAATAACAGAATAACAGGGTTGGAAGGGACCTTAGAGGTCTTCTAGTCCAACTTTCTTACTCAAGCAGGAAACCCTATAACATTTCGGACAAATGGCTGTCCAGTCTCTTCTTAAAAACTTCCAGTGTTGGAGCACTCACAACTTCTGGAGGCAGGTTGTTCCACTGGTTAATTATTCTAACTGTCAGGAAATTTCTCCTTAGTTC